TGACTCATGAATGGAATGATCATAATTTGATGCTATCAACGCGTGATGCTTCAGTCATGCAGGACGGATGTTAGATTTGTATTTAATAGCGGCTAAATACAGGCGGGTCAGGGCGAGGGCTTCGGGCTGCAGGCCGTCCGCCGCCCGGCCGCGCACAGACGGGCCGTCGCGGACGGCGGGCGACACGGCGGGCGCGGAGAGAGGACGAGCGGACTACGCCGAGACGGTGAGTCTGACTGATAAAGGAGGATTTTATCCGCTCGATTTAGCATGAAATTGGAACACAAAGTGAATAAAGCCACAAGATTGTAAACATTATGAGGTTCCCCTTTTTTATAGCAAGCATTCGGCTTATTTACGGTTCTCTTTTTATTGGTCACTAGTGTCTGCCTCGAACCCCTGTTTATTACCTTGTTAAAGTCTAGTTAACGAACTGATCGATCCGTACCAGCTCGGTACTCGCAATGCAGTTAATTGAAAATTTATCGCTCTACCTGTACCCGTATGAGCTTAATTGATTCGGGACGTGAGCGACTGTAAACTGGAGTACGAATTGAATTTTATTAAAACGACATGAAAATCGAATCGCCTATTATTAGAGACAATTTGAGTGGCTCGTAAAGTGGGTGCGGGTGTAAATCACGCGCGTCTCAGGTTCCCACGCGGGCGGCACGGCTCCTCCGGAATGAATGACTCACTAAACTCAAAGCTCCATTTCCACAAGTCATAGTGCAATTAATAATATGCGGCATCCTGTCGAATTATCTCTCGCCGTGGCAGGGGTCCGGCCGGCTTTAATTTACCACAATGGAAGTCGGTTCTGAGAAGCGTTCGGCGGCGAGGCGGGTCGATTCTTCGACGAAAACAAACAGAAAATAATTATCATAAAGATGAAGAGCGGCCGCTCGAGCCTCGCCGCTGCTAATGGGAGCCCACCTGGCCGCGCCGCAGGCCCTCCTCCCCCGTCTCACAGCGCGGACCGCTGCGCACACTCGAAGCCTCGCGCACACATTCCTCCCGATATAGCCTTCGCTTCCCTTACAGCTCTCCCATCATTCGAGTAGGCAATAAACACTTGATTGGTTTTTAATTGTGATTGTTAAGAAGTCGTTTTCTGAATAATGCATTTCTGACTTGTATTAATTTACTACCATTAATTGCTTTTTGCAGGAAAATAAATGAACTTTACGTTAGGTCCTGAGACTAATCTTGTCCCATTTTATCAAATTGTAACGTGGGGCAATTAGCCCTCAAAGTCCTATCCTAAATAAGAATACTTATCTATTACTGCAAGAAACATACGGTTTTATATCCACGTACTAACAGACAGCAAGGCGGTGATAATTTTCGTCATCATTGTTTGCTATCCTCGGTCTACATCTGACGTAACTATTACTGCTATCTATTAATTTACCATTACGGTTAACCTTTTCAATCGACTCCTAAGATAAGTTTATTTGACAACATTACGATTCTTAGGATTGAGATACTCGTATCAGTACCCAGATTGTAACAGAGAATAGCAAGGTCTTCTTTATCCCTTATCTGAGCGCAGCTTTGACCAACTATTTTTATCGTGTCTGAGGTATGTAGGGTCGGTTACGGTACTTTCTCTTGAGAAATGCAAGAAGTGTTGTGGAGTTTAGAAAAAAATATTTATTATATTAAATAGCAAACAGCAATTGTTCATATTCCGTAACTTGCTATAGGTACAATTTAGCAGTTACTTTAGAGTAACATTTAAATAATTTTTTTGATATGAAAAAATAACAGTATTATGTAGGTAACAATAAACGACGGTAAGAAAAGCTATTTTCCGAGAAACCATTAAATGTAGTTGCAACGTTTATTTGGAAAATTGGCAAGTACCTACCTACGGCAATAAAGTATTGAGTACCTAAATAAATTTCAAGAAAACGTGTTATATAAATTTATCTATAAAAAAGTCCCCAAAAACCATTAATTAATGCATGAAAACTTGAAAGCTCAACAGTATGGTTTACGAAATACCTAGATAATTACAATATCATTAGACAAATAATATTGTAATATAAAATAATAATATTAAAAATAATCTAAATATTTACAATATTATTATGTCAAAATTCTATGTTGGAAACTTTGCCGTCCGTCATTTACATAGCCTTCAAATTCGCAATGTAAAACGGTGACAGTTTATGTACTTAGCTTAACGCTGGTTCAGACAAAAATTGTCTCAAGTAAGTACTTACTTATTTATGAAAATGTAGCAAAATAAATTAAACATTCCTTTAAATCTCACTTTAGAAGATAACGATCTTTTGGAAGATATAATTTAACACTGGACAACATGAAACTGTGAAAGCTGAAGATAAAAAGCTTTGACGAATTCCTCAGACCAAGCTGAATGGCGGTATGAGTTTTTCGTATTCGTTTTTTGGGCGGCGTTGACGGCCGGAGTTTTTGCGCGAATGCCGTCGTATCTCTCGGTGGTCCATTAAAGCTGGAACAATGGCCCACTCAGTTTCTATTACCCGTTTTATCTAACTTGACGCAGATTATGTGAATTCTGTCGGGCTTTTTTAACTTCGCTTAATGACGTGTTGTCATTATACCGAGATCGCAGCGGTAGGTATATGGATACTCGCCGAGTTGTACATTGGTAGGTAACTAGGTACGTGGTCTATTAAAAGTAACGTGAGTTTATTGATGCCTTACATTCTCTCAAATATGTGGATTAAACATCATCGTCTATAATGTACGCAATGAATACGAAAGAATTATATTGACATGGAGTTCTTCAATAAATAGTTGGACAAAAATAAAGAATTTCTGACAACATCATCAATGGTTATAAAATCATTACACATTTTTGTTTGTAAAAAATAAGCCGGTGGTAGAAATTAGGGAATGTTGGTCTGGTCGCGTGGTGCGTGGGGAATTTTATCAATTATACAGATAGGAGCCGCGGGCAGCGCCCCCCGCAGCGACCGCTCTACCCCACACGTATGTAGTATGGATATGGCTTGTGTTTTTGAACACACGACTATAAATTAACCACGGAGTGTGTATCATTGCCAGATACAACTAAAAAATGTTAGAAAATTATTAAAAGTCTTAAGCTAAGTATTCTTTAACATTTCGGCTTAAAAATAAACCACTTAAGTGACATTTTTCACAAAAAGCCTAAGTATTTATTATAAAAATATAAAGCTGTGCTGTAAAACTTTAATTTTAATAGCTTTTTTTTATTGAGCTTTACCTACAGGAAGATTCTGATTTTCTTACCATAAATTTTGTGGCTTTTTGTGGAAAACGTCAATAATGTGGTTTTACCTTTAAGCAGACGTACTATGTTTTATATTATTATGATCAGACTTTACGTTATTTACAAACTCCTGTCAAATATAAAAAAAATGCAAATAATATAGAAAGGAAATGAATTGAAAACCTATACTAGAGTACAACATCCAATATAAATTCTGATGCCACATTAGTGTATCCTTAGGTGTGTATTCTCCGACGAGGCATTGGTAGTTCCAAAACGCAGGCTTCGCGTGTGTTCTACCTTTACATTCCGCAGGGTACCCGGGCGATCCGAACTAAGAGTCGGGAACTTCAGGACTCCTAAACGTTTTTAATAAGCTAACCTTTTGCATTACTAAAATTCTTTACTGTTAAGTAAAGATGAATTATTATGTAAGGTATATTTTATGTTTTATTTGTGTGGAAAATTCATATTTTTAGTTAAAAAAGAAATATTGTATTAATCAATGGTTAAGTTCCTGTTACATAAATCACTATGCATAAAGTTTAGATTTTCGAAAATACGTGAGTGGTACAGAGGAAATATTCGAAGAAAATCACAAGGATACTTTTGTAAACGTGTTCTACGAAACAATCCAACAAAATGTTTCTAAACTTCAAATAAAGCTGTTGCCGTCGGTAAAATCGGACACGTTCTAGTAACCCACTGGTGGTGTTATTGTTTTAATCAGGGAATAACATAAACACCTCCCAACCAACCTCAACATTGTAAAATCTTGAAAACAAAACAAAACTCTTGCCGCTCACTTATTCGTGGAAGTGAAATAACACACTGTATTTACTTTCATGGAAAATTATTTAACGTTACATCTTACAAAACGAAAAACAGCACGCCGCCGGTGTGTTTGTAAACGAGGCCGAAAAGAGCCGGGAGCCTTGAGCGCTGCAGCTAACATGTTCCATCTTTAGCCAATAAACCCACTAACGCTCGCGAAACTCAACCTTAACCACGAGTAACAGTAACCAGATTCTGAGCTGATTTTGCGACCATGTTCCAAATTGGCTACTATAAGTTTGCAATGCCCGCTCTAAGCTTTTGTAATAAGGTTGGAAATTGAGTACTCGGCTAATCCTGTAAACTTGAAGAGCCGAAAATGTTTACCCGTAAATCACGTCCATTGTTTAAGGAAAATTCTATTTCGATGCATTACCGTGAAGCGCCGGCAGCGGGATTCGCTAAACAACGCTTCCCGGTACAGACTGGCGAAAGCTAACTGCGCACTTGCGCACTAGACGAGCTTTTAGAGAAACAACAACAAACGTTTTTACTGAAGTACATTTTTTTTAAGCAACGGCGCAGAATAAAGTATTTAATTTTATGCCAAAAATTGTCCTTCGAAAACGCACTAAGCCGATTAGTGCTTAGGTCGTCGTGAGCTCAGGCATATAGAGCCCGCGCTCGCGCGCTCTCTTTTACGAACCCTGTGACTCGTTCTCTAATCAAGATCATATTGAAAAGTATATACAGTAATAAACCAAGTCATTAAGAAATACAAAACTTTAAATTTTTTGGTAGTTAAATCATACAATTAATTCACTGAAATAAAACTATATCGAGCACTACTTCGACTGTTACAACAACTGCTTACTTTACAACTTAACTAAAATTATTCTCTTGTAACTTAGAAACATTTTATATATACCGTATTAGTGAAACGTTGACAAAATCATTTTAAGGAAATAAAACATACGGAAATGTAAATAAATCTACATTTATTGCTATACTTACTATACATAGAGGCTAATAGGTTTCCTCAATTAAAAAATCATGCACCGATTTGTTGTACCTCTCAGGGAAGGTTTCCGTCAGTTCGTTGCGAGTCAACCACTCAGCCTTGCTTTTGCTGTGAGCGCTTCCGCTCTTGTAGTTGGCATAGTAGAAAAATACCTATTGGAAGATCGATGACATTTTACTAAAGATGTACCAACTAAAAGGCGGCAAGGACGACAAATCTGCCAAATTTATATAGTCAGCGACAAGAACGCAATCAGACCACCTTGAATTTGACAGGGTTATTGTTGGATAATAAAAAGAATAAAAACATTTCGACGCACAATGAGTTTTAAGGCACACATTTTACTGATTAATTTTCAAAACAATAATTATACCAGTGAAATAAAAATAAGAAAAAGTATTTTAAAAAGCACGTAGCCAATAATAATGTTGTTCTAAATGACGTATTTAAAAATAATAATTTCGTCAAGCTATATATTTTGACAATCATAACTATACAATTATAATTACAAAAAGAAATCGATTAGTTGAAAAACTGAAGTTGCCTACGGAAATGAACGAACGGTTCCGCGCCGAAATTACTGATATTTGAACATAATCCGCAATCGGCAAATATCTAGTTTTATACATATAGAATCCATTTAGACAAGCCTACTTGGTACTTGGTGTAACGGGCTGGTGTCTGCAACTCGACGACATGGCGCCTATTTTTTTTGCGCCTATTAGACAAGCCTAACGTGCGTACATAATATCAAGCCAATATACGTATTGTTGATATAAAGTTTTTACTGTATACCGAAGTAAGCTCACAGGAAACAAAATACGACGCACAACAAAGTAGGAATATGAGAAACTATTAAGATTAATTTAACGTCAATAAATGCCAACAGTCACTGATACTAGGGCCTCGTCACAAATAATCTTGGATTCCGCAGCATTTTTAACGTATTCTATTCTAAACTCTTAACGTATTCCACTTTAAAAAAATAAAAATTACTTCATTAAATAAATGCAGGATGAGGTTGTGGCTATGCGACCTCTTTCATCGTCATCCCACCTTTTTATCCCCCTGTTCCCTGGTTTCTGGTCAATTAATAAAAATTTTGAATAGTTTCTAATTCTTTTTCTCCGTCATTCTTACTTATTTGTTATAATACCAAGTGACGGGACGAACAAGTCGTGCACCTGGTGGCGACACGTCTATCCACAGCAGTTGCAGTGCCACTCACAACATTAAATCGTAAAGATCTTAAGGGTACTGCTACTGCACCCATCATCCTGAGACATATAAGTTGACAAGTCCCATGTGCTTGTAATTTCACCAGCACCCCTTACCCTTCAAAGCCGGAACGCAGAAATAGTCACATTACTGCTTGGCGGCAGAAATAGGTAAGGTGGCAGTATTTCCTTGGACCAACTCATTCACAAGCTCTACTGCTACAAAAAATTTACATTGCTCCGTTTCGTTCCGTCGTCGTCACTCCCATCAAAATTCTCGGAGAGAAAAGGGTGATAAAAAAGTGGGATGACGATGAGAGTCGCATCATCACAAGGTTAGTGTTGAATATAACTGTCATGTGCCTAATGTATCGGTAGGGGGGGGGGAATCCCCCTAGCGCCGAACAGCACATAGTAGGTACCGAACAGATCACGTCCAAACATGAAATAATGCTCTCATTTGCTCTCGTTTATGAAAAGACGTTAAACTTAAAGGAAAGAAATCCCCCGCGGCGTGGGAGGCCTTAGTCTCGCTCGATACGATTTACAGATGACATTCTACACATTTCGCACGGAAATCAGTTGCATCGAGAGAATACATTGCGTGTATTGCATTTTCTTTAATCATTGGGTACATTTTACATTGAAATACTTTTGTGGCAAATATATTAATAAACGTTGTTGTAATCGAAATTTTACTTAGGTATAGTGTGTCCCTACGTTCGGACAATATCTGATTCCCTAGTACCGGACAAGTATATTTTTACCCATACAAGGTCCCTAGTAGGGAGACAATCTTATTTTGGCAAAATGTTCTATGCTATATAATTTGCTCTACTACCAGATGCTGCTATAGAGAACAAACAAGGAAACGTCGAGCAGAAAAAAGTGAAATTTTGACTGATTCGCCAAATAGAAGTTTAGAAAAAAAATATAATGAAAAAACAAATAAAAGAAGAAGGTAATCGCAGAATTAAAAAGACGAAAGACATATGACAAATAAAGCCGGTTGAAAAACCACTAGAGAGGTACAACTGTGTTGTTTGTTGCGAAGACTACGAAGAAGACTGGATTCAGTGTGAGTCATGTAAAGAATGGACACATAAAACCTGCGCGGATATCCCACAGTGCCCAGATCTCTATGTTTGTAATCGTTGTAATATTTTGTAAGTTATCTTTAAATTGTTTTCACTAAATTGAATTATTGTTTGCGTTGATTTATTGAGTCTATAATGGCCGTGTTTCTTAAAATTATATACATATGTTAGATTATATACTTCCGGACACATAATTCGAGCCACCACGCATTTTCAGTACTAAGTGTCATAAGCTTAAACAGTGTTTGATTGATCAAAAATCTTTATGCAATTTTGAAACTGGTATACTAAACGTCTTTTCCATAAGTCCTTGTTGGGACTTTAGACTTGCAAAACCGGCGAAAACTTTTTCTTCGATGATAACACTATTTTTGTATTCTTGCCCTTTACGACAAAAATGCGAGGTGGCGCGATTTATGTGTCCGGGAGTATATTATATTAAATAATGAGTACATTATGTTTCAGTATGTTTGCTGTATTAATGAAAGATTAATTGACTAAGTTTTTATTTCAGAAATCTCGATGTTAACGGTATTGGCCGATATTAGGGGTTTGAATAAATACTTACCCGGTACTAGGTGCCACTTTTCAATGATACCAAAAACGAGACCATTGATTAGTTTCTTTTTTCAGTTGTTAAAATTGTTCGATAGTTATATATGTTGATTTATTTGAATGTCTAATATGATTGTGTATCTCAAAATGTTACGTCGTAATAAAACATTATCTGAGTTTGTTTATTTTTTGCAAAACCTTAAGTGTCCGGTACTCGAGGGACTCCCCCTACATATACATAAGTGGCGACTTACCTTAGCGCCAAGTTTGCCAACAATTTCACAGGGATATTTGTATTTATAGAAGCCACAGGGCGCGTTGGAAAGAAACTGCACTTTTAGCTCTGACCCGCACTGCTCCTTTACTATTCGTTCAGCTGTCTGTACACAAGACACAGTACATTAATTAGTTAAAATCAAATGCAGGCGTAGAGATTCTAAAAATATAATAGTAATAACGTACACACTCGCGGGTGCCATGGACACACACATAGACAACCACAAATTACCTACACCCAAATTCACGAGAGAAATAAATGTAGGCCATATAAATTTATATGGCCAAAATTTATTATTATTATATTTCTTCCGGCCCGGGAATCGAACCCGGGACCTCTATGTAGTAGACCAGCATGGTTATGTTTAAAAGCATATTTTTACTTTTAAAAAGCTTTACTTTTACTTAAGCTTTACTTTATTTTTACATTTAAAGTGTCTGCAGCTATCACTAATGTTAGTTATAGAATCTTTATCTGGTTACTCTTTATACCTGTACATTGTAGTAGGGTATAAAGTACTGTACACTGTACATTGTAGAGTACATACCTGTATATTTAGTATTTATTGCTCATGCTCTTTACTATCTCTTTACATATAAATAAATTAACTATAAGTGGATCAAAGCATTAAGTTTTGTAACTCCATCTAGTGGTTTTCCAGTGTATCACAATAACATTTTCAACACTGATCAATATATTCAGCTGTTACTTCTTTGTATTGTTAGATAGCGCTTTAAACAGTTTTAACTTATGTACTGCATTATGAACACTCGAAACATGGTTTAAAGCAAGCGCGACCTAACTTATTACAATATTTCTACTAGTTCTTTATCCAAAAAGGCATTTATCGATTATATAACCAGAAATAGAGACGAAATGTCATTTAATTTGCTTAAAAATTATTCTGCCAAATTATTACTGTGACAACTGCGCTCCGATTTGTCTGCCCATTCGAAACGTGTCGTCAATTGTTTCATTTGTAAACGACCAGTTTAACTTGAGCTTTGCTATAATGGACGAAAATTACATATTTAACATTTAATTACCGATGAAATGTGATTCCGTTTGTTTCGTAATTAGATGTTTCGCTGTTTTTCCCACACCACCGAAAGGAACAGCCCCCATTGTTAATATTATCTTTATTACAATAAATACAGAACATTTTTGGAATATACGGAGACGTACACCCGTCTAATAGGTCAGTTGTTGGCGCTGTACTATTTCAGTTTCATAATTTGTGTTTTCAGCGCAAACGATAGCTGATATTTAAAAGTGATATATACGGCCCACTGAACTCATGGGCTAAATGGCCAGGGATGGATTTTATTTCGCCTCTATTTCTGGTTATATACTCGATGCCGACACGCAACCTCAAACTGCAATAATCTTTATATAATAGGTAAAATTTCAAATTTTACTAAGACTTGTAATCGTCACATTGATTACGTGTCACGGGATTGGCGCTATGTGGGGATCCTAACATTTGATTATTTTTTTAAATTTATCGATTGCTGGTGCGTCGCTAGTTTGATGATAAAAACACTATTTTGTATTAATTTAAACGATTTCGATGTTTTTTCAGCATTGCACATCACCTGCTTAAATAGCAACATTTATATAGAAATTTTAGCAAGCCGCTAATATGAAATTATTCGGCAGGATTTGAAGCATTTTTTCCAGAATTGTAAAATTGATTACCAGAAGGTGTGTGTTGGGCGCGCGACCTTACCTCCCGTTTAATCCGGACCCCGGTATGAAAAAACAAACGAAATTAGATATTGCCATACTAAGCCGAGCCAACTGTACCAACTGGTACTTTCACACCTCGGTTTTCCACTCAAGTTTAAATATTAAATTAAGGACTCAATTTAAGTCGTTGCATAATTACAAACGGATGGTCACCCATTAGATACTTAAATTTTGAGTTTCTTAATTCTTTGATATATTTTTAAGCGATGGATTTATAGCCACAATAATTAAAATATAATAAAAACTGAGAATTAATAAATATTATTAGATGTGGAAAATTTGTGGGGTATATGAATTTTGCTCTCCCAAATTTGGGTACTTTAACCTAGATTTTTGGGGATTTCAAATAATTACCATTGACAAAGCTTTCCTTTTTGAAGACAGAGTAAAACGACGTTTGCAGAATGCAAAATTTTAAATAGTCATGTAGTTATTGTCGACAGTTTTATCGATAGACTGTGAAAAAAGGTAAAACTTTGCCAAAAAATATATGATTTGTAAATGTTATGACAATTAACACAAGGTAATTTCTAAGGCAATTAACACACTGCACCGCGCCACGCAACGGTGCACGAGACGCGGAATCGCGCACGAGACGCGGAATCGCGGGCGCGGTGGCGGAGACGCATATCTGCGTTAACGCGCGGTTTAATCTATGCGTGGTCAGCGTTCTAGCGACCCCGCGCCACTTAAGGTATTCACGTCGTAGTTGTTCGCCGTAGTAATTGTACATGTAGCTGAGATCCTTCTTTGACATGAATGGTTAATAATACAGAATTCATTAAAAACGCACAGTTATACTGTCTATTTGGTTTTTGTTTACTCAAATAAAAAGACACCGAAGATATTGGGTACAGCCCTTTTTACGAACCAGATCGATAAATGGATCATTTCAACTTCATTACAAAGATTTAAGAAAATATAAAGATAAATTTGGTCGATTTTCAATAGCAAATCTAAATTCATTGACGTCAAGACCCATTGTAGACAACTGAACAGGACGTGTTCAGTGAGAAGCTTTGTCAGTGTGTTGGAAGGCGCGTGTTTTCCGAGCAAACTGAGGTACTTCAGTACAACGTTAAAAACCGCAGCTACACGCTTCGTCGCGGAGCAGTGTGTTAACCGCCTAATGATTACTACTTAATTGCGTTATTGCCTTGTTTATTAGTATAATGACAGTTGGCCTTCTAGAACCGAAATCAGTTTTTATTCATACACGTTTTAACAAGGACCGACGAATTTGATTATCTATATTGAATTAAAGTGAATAATTTTAAAATATGTCTTCTCTTTGCATTTTTAATAGACATAATTCTAAATGCAGTGAATGTATGTATGAACTCACAAAAATTAACAATTCAAATGGACCTGTGCTCAGCAGTTGACGAATAGTGATGATTCAAATGAAACGAGTTAACTAGGCACTTAAGTAGGCAGACGCTAACCTTTAGTGTAAAGTTTTTGTTTCACTATAGTTTTATATCTTGTAAATAAAATTTTTGAATATCAACCAGAAATCTTGTTATACATGGGGCGCACTATAAGTTTCCGGAATGAATAAGAAAAAATACTACAAATGGTAAGAAATGAAATTATTGTTTCTCAAAATATTCTCCGTTAAGCGTTAATGAACTTTTTCATACGAATGAACATTTATGCCACTCCTCCGTGACAATCTCTGAAACATATTTTTCAAACTCTTCGACAGCCACTTCAGGTGATAAAAATCGTAACCGCGTAACTGGTTCTTAATTTTTGGAAATAAATAAAAGTCACAAGGTGCGAGGTCGGGACTGTTACCCGGGATGGCTCATAATGTCAACGTTGTTCACCTTCAAACATTCATTTGTCTGTGTGGCCGTGTGAGAACTGGCATTAGCGTGGTGCAAGATGATACGGCGTTTACGATTATTTTTACGGAGTTTGTCAATAACTTCCGGCAAACAAATGGTCGTGTATCAATCACTATTCACGGTACAACGATACTCTAAAGCAACAGTAGCCACGTGTCCAGTTTTATTTAAAAAAGAAGCAATCATCCTCTTAGAGGCATTTTACACGCGCGTCACTTTGGTTGGTTTCGGCATCTCGAAAGACCCATACGCTCGATTGCTGCTTTGTTTTGGGATCGTAACTATAAATCCATGTTTCGTCACCTGTTACTATATCCCACACCAAATTTGACGCCCCTTGTTGAATCTGGTAAACATGGCATTGCACTAAGTGACGCGATCCGTTTTTTGAGCCTCAGTCAAATTGTGTGGGATCCACCGAGAGCACTGCTTATTCACACCCAAATGTTTGTGTAGTATTGATTGTATTTGAACTATGTCTGTGCCTAAAGATGCCCGAATCTCATAGTATGTCGTATACGGCGCACAGCATCGATGTTTATGTTGTTCACAGCAGTGGACGGGCGACCATCACGAAATTCGTCACACACACGACCGCATTTGAATTCTGTAAACCAGCTATACATAGGCGTCTTGCATGGTGCTTCATCACCAAAAGCAGTTTGAAGTTCGCTCCGCTGAGCTGTTAAATTACACTTAAAGTCGTAGAAATCATACTACGAAAATTTTCACGACTTAAATCCATGGTGATGTAGACAACCAATTTATAAAATGACGCCACAATATAAAAAGACGTGACAGTCAAATGAAACAAACTGTATTCTACAGCCAAAGATTTCCATTATTCAAATGTTGTAATTACTTTTTAAATATTGTTTATGTAAGTGGCCAATTTCGGAAACTTATAGTGCGCCCTATGTAAAAGCGTATATACATTGACCCCTTAAATGAAGAAGTGTAAGAATGTTCATTTCTTTAAACTTCTCTCTTAAAGATACTCTGGGGCCCAGATTGTAAATTGCCTTAACCACATACCCTCATAACTGATTACCTATCAAATTTGTTATGTAGTTATTGATCACATATTTCTTACTTGTCTCAGAGTCTCGCCTTCTTTCCACAGACCCTGTGGCAGGAGGGTCTTTATATCTTTGCCAAGTTTGTGAGGCATGACCAACACCAAGTGCCTTTGAAGGAATCTATCTGTTGAGGATTTATCACCTTTTTTATCTGCTTCTGTAAAACGATTTAATTATTTCATTCAATAATTATTCAGTGGTGAAAACTGGTGAAAACTGTCACAAAATTGTACATGAGGTGGTGAGCATTGATATTACATCGGCCTAAGGTAGAAAAGTGCAATCACATATTACAGATTTAAATAATTTCAAAATCACAGAGGTCTCAGAGAATCAAAACAGTCATGTTTCTATCAGGTTCCTAACAGAACCAAAAGCTTAAATTTAAAATAACTGAAATTAGAAATTTCTCCAAAATTTTATAACAAACGGGGAGATAGAAAATTGTTGGGACTGCACTCACCATAATAATAGGAAGGAACAATCTTGATAGTTAAGATAGTATTGTATTAGAAGTTATTGCCTATTAATGGTATGAGTATCTCAACCCCTCCTATGTAAAATATTGTATGTCGAAATTGCCAAGTTTACAAGGGAGCATTTTAAAGTTTTGAAATTTCTGAAATGAGTATAGGGCCATTCCAAAGTGACAGGTGGGACATTTTGACTCCTTTTTGTCGAACTTTAAGTAATTTCTCCCTAACCATTGGTTAATTGGACTTAAAATGAAAATATCATGAAGCCAGATATGCAACTTAACCGCAACCATTTATTTACATTAATTTATGACCTTATTTATACTCAAAATTTTTAAGTTTCTACTCACGACACTCGCCTGTTTGAGTTGATGGCTTCATTTTCATTTTATTTTATTGCCAAGATCAAGACAAACTATTAATATTTTGTTCAGCAAGTTTTCATATGTGATAATTTGAATGTTAAAGTTCTATTTTATATACACACTTCAGTAATAACTTTGATAAATATTAAGGAAATTAATATGTTAAGTTGTGACGGGTGGGACACGATTTTGTGACGAGTGGGACGAGTTACAATTGAAGACACAGAATTAATAAAATTACACTGTTTAATATAAGATCTATCGTTAAGACATTTTAACCCAAAAAAAAACCCCAATTAAAGAACTGATAAAGTAATCCTGTTATTTTTCCGAAAGACTATCTATGACGACATGAAATGAAAGTCACGCTTGTAAAATGCGTTAATAAATTTGAAAAATTCTGCCTCATACTCGAAGATTATGACAATTGTATCATATCGAAATATATGAAATTTTTGAAATGTTGCTCTAATATATAGTGACAACATGTGGAGACAGACTTTTCATGAATTTCCTGATACTAAAAATCAGCAGGTAAAATGTTGTCAGTTTTTTTTATGTGTTAAAATGTCTTAATTATGAGAAAAATTATAAAATACTTCCTTACAAATGTTGGATCTACATATAAACAGAGTATTTTTTTAAATTCTAGGTATTCAAATGTAACTTGTCCTACCTGTGACAAAATGGTGTCCCAATCGTCACAATTTAATCGCAACTGTTACACATCAAACAAACAAGCAAACATCGTAAAAACTCGAATCCATGAAAGTACAAACATTCAATCAAAGTAAAAAGTTTAGAAGTGTGTCCTACTCATCTCTGTGACGGGTGGGACACACTGCAAAATCTTAATTTTTACATTCCTATTTACCTGCACAATGCCCAACCAAGCCAAAATAATTACCCTTACCATAATTGTTATTTTTACAGAAGCAAATGCCAATAGATTGCATATTTATTGGTTAAAATAAAAATATTTATGTTTCATTGTGACAGGTGGGACTTGAAATTAGTATTTATTGAAACTTTAATGACTCTTCACCATATATACTTCCATGCAATCACTTATCACTGTTTTAAAATTAGTAAACTGTATTTTCTTCAACAATAATAACTTATTTAGAAAGATGCACAAATAACTACAGAAATTGTTGCTAACATTATAGAAAAAAGTGTTTCACCATAGATGATTACATTAATTTCTAATGATTTGATTTATTGGGCGTATTCCAGTCATACAATTAAAACCAAATTGTGTAATTTATTTTTTTGAGCCGCAGTATCATTTTCACTGGAATGACCCCATAACATGTGACTTTAGCATTTCTCAGTTTTATTCGCCAAAGCTCATAACTCACATAGAGTATTATAAAATGTAGATATCAACTAGACAAACAATCACAATTTATTTTATAATTTTATCCTAACGCAGATGGGGGGTAACCAGCAGGTAAACTAAAGTGAGACTGTGCAGGTCAGGTGACAGTTTAAAATTGTAAAATAATTGTGGTTGTTCATCTAACCAATAGCAAGGGTTTTATAATGCTCTATGTGAGTAATGAGCTTTGCTCAATAAGACTGAGAAATGCTTAAGTCATGTGTTATGTCCATTTCAGAGGATTCAAAACATTATAATGCTCCCTTGTAAACTTGGCAAATTTGACATACTTTACATAGGAGATGTCGATCTATGTTTCAAAGTATGAAAAAGTTCTACATAAATGTCTAAATGAAAAGTATCAACAATGTTCAATTGGCTAAGATTCAAATTGAAATTGCTGTTATATAATTACTTGTTCTTGTTACATAATATTTTTAAAATTTCACACCACAGTGGACCTTTGACATACATATTGGATTACAATATACAATTTACCTACCAGTAGTAATACTGGCAAATTGGAACTGTGCAAATTCTTCGTTGGATGCATCTTCAAAGTCCTGTGCTGTGTTTTTACTAACAACTTCCATGTCCACTTCAATAGAATCGTTTTTGAGGAGCTCAGCTTGAATTCTACAATTATTAATATTTTTTTTATTATCAGTTTGAAAATATCAGAATGAAAATTTCATAAACACCCAAAAAATGTCCTTTCAAAGTATTGGTTCCAACCTTCTTGGATGGTGGAGCCAACGATTATAGTTTTATTTATCTGTAAATAAGAGTTTGAGTTTGATTGAGTCTGTTTGCTTTGCTTTGCTGTTTAGGTACCAGTTTTAAAAACTTACTTACATTAAATACATATTTTGTGTTAACAGCATAAAATTACTTACTTATCTTGTTCACGTCTCAATTCATGAGCAGATTTCAAACTTTTCTCAATTTCCATGGTGGCCAACATGTCCTTATATTTCTTCTGAATATCGTTCAGCGGTGGAGTTACAACTGGTAGCCGTTCGATGCAAACTCCTGTCACGATGTCCCATGATGATGTAGTACTTACACCTGTAACATTTTCCTTGCCGTTACAAACGACACCGATTGCAAACGTTACCAGTTGCAATTGTTAGGTTACCTCTTAATAGAATTTTACTACAAATCCTTAATTCTGCTTGTATTAGGGTTTTGTAGAGCATTATTGTCTAAAGAAATGACATATACAATCAAAAGTGTCTTAAATAATCAGAATATAGTAATTTCTAAATTATTTATATTTTCCAAGCCAGCTGATTTTAGTTAGTATTTTGTAATTCTTATTTCTTTTCTTTCAGTTAGTGAAAAGGCAATGGTATAAAACCAAAAAGCACCTTTATTAATTCTAGCTGTCATTCAGAATTTTAGATTGTGCCTTTTCGTCCAAAAAGTTGAGACTAGGGCCTTTAAGGCACTGTTGGGTAGTTTTCCGAAAACAAATTGAACATTAAAAAAATTCGAAAAATCAAAATTTTAGGCTAATATTAGGAAGGCTAATTATGTTCGTCATTCAGAAATATCTTTTGAAGTTTTATTTAGCTTGAATTATAAAATAAAATTGTGTCGTTAGCAAGTAGAAAAAGGAGAATTCTAATGATTGGACAACGGGGAAAAAAATCTCTTAAAAAAAGATGGCTCGAGATGGGTCCATCATTTTCGTTCAGTACCTTCAACTTTAGACAGGTGTCCTCATGAAAATATAGGAAATAATTCGGAAAAATATTTATTTTTCTGAAAAATATGATTTTCAAAATGGAAATTTTTCTTGACCCAACACTGGGCTAGGGTCACAATCACAGGGTTCTATTCAATGATTCTATATACCTAAATATATACATCCATTCGCATCTTTAGAATTTATTATTAAAGATTATTAATTTGGAAAGCTCGAGTGGCACAGACTCTCTGTCTGGATATCTCTGTCTGAAATTCCACTCCCGCGTCGGTATACGTACTTAATACGGCATAGATTTAGTCGCCGATTGAGTGTCGTATCTGTAACTGCAAAGACAACACGCCAACACCACCACTGTTGATAAAAAAGTGGATTAGTGGCGGAGTAATAACTCTCTTTCGCAATTAAAATGGCTTGAAATCTGATTCGGTCTTATCACTCTAAAGTCATAAATAACAAAAGCAACATTGCTTAGCTAGTAAAAATGAAAGTGATTTAATTCTTGTTAGGTCAAATGACATCATAAAAGTTCAGTAATTAAGTAACCTTATAGCAACAACTTTTTGTATTTATTTATTTTATTTTATTTTTTATTTTATTCAATGAACAAAGTTTCAACAGCATTCTTATACTTATTTGACAAATGTGTTTAAGCAGTACAAAAGCCAATTACAGAAACTCACTATGTATACAAAACATGTGATATTATTATTACAACATTGGGTAGAAAAATAAATTTAAATTAGTACAATAAGAACTGAGTTCACAACTAACTGTAAATTACTGATATCAATTGTCGTGTATAGGTCTGTGTAAGTATGTGTGTGTGTGTGTGTGTGTGTGTGTGTGTGTGTGTATATGTGATGGAGCGTGAGTGTCTAGTTCGCCTCCCCCTATTTCCTCAGAGAATGTGCTAGGCAGGTAAAACTAACAATGAAAGAAACTGCTCGCATCGTTAGTGCTTACAACTCGGCTTACATGGCGCACGAAATCGACGCAAATAAAACTGTTTAAGAAAATAAGTTAAATTAAAATGGTTCAATTATAGTAATTGAGTTAAATATTCAAATAAATTATATAAAGTTAACTTTGATTAATTAATAAAATGAGAAATAAATACATTATTTTAATTTATTTATTTATTTATTTATACCTCTGATGTTTCGAAGCAAAGCAGTTTTAAATGTAGTCCTAGACGTAGAAAACAGGTCAATATGTCAGAAAAATACTTGTTGTATGTTTTAGGCAATCTCACGGTCATGTCGTTAGCCTCGTAGTTTGTCCGTACAAGCGGTACGTGAAAAAGCTGCGTATGACGTGACCTTTTCTTAGGAGCTTTTAGGCTGATAATCCTATTAACTAATTCGGTACAATCTAATTTTCCTGAATATATATCGTACAAAACAACCACATCCTGCATACGACGTCTATCGCTGAGTGTAGTGAGGCCATGTTTACTACACGACTTCCTGTAATCGCTTATGTTATTAGTTCGAAAGTTTAAATATTTTATGAATTTTATTTGCAGGCGTTCGATAGCGTGTTCGTATCTAATATACTGTGGGTTCCAAATAGTGCTGCAGTATTCAAGAATGCTTCGAACATATGCATAGTACAAAACTTTTAAACAGGATGCACTCCTGAAATCCTTGGTCACTCTAAAAATGAACCCCAAATTTTTATATGCCTTGTTGGTTATGTGCTCAAAATGATTAGCGAAAGTTAGTTTTGAATCCAAATAAACACCTAAATCCTTAACGACATCCACCTTGCTCAGAAATGTGTTATTCAATTTGAAATCGTATTCAATGCCTTTTTTGCTTTTTTTTTCTCGACCTACCTTACGACAGGGACCAAAAGTTTCCGACTGGCATAATTTAACAGCTGGTGTTCCGCAGGGTGGAATCCTGTCACCACTTTTGTTTTCTCTTTTTATTAATTTTCTTTCTTTCTCACTTAACTGCTATTAGCATTTTTATGCTGATGACTTGCAGATTTACACGCAGGCATCTGCTGAGGACATTAATTCACCGTTTTCTCAAATTAACCGCGATCTACAAAGCGTTAGTACATGGACAACTAATTTTGGGATATCTGTCAATCCATTGAAATGTCAAGCAATATCGTAGGTGGATCTAAACAGATATCCGAGATTGACCATAGTTCGCTTCATCATGTAGTGTATGAAAACTCGTCTGTTCCACTCAGCTTTAGTGTTAAAAACCTTAGTCAATGTAGTGTGGAGTCAATGTAGAGGACATTGACTCCACGCTACATTGACTACACACTGGTCCTCACAGGTGTCCCGAGCTAGTCGTAGGTTTCTTTCTTCTTTACGTTTTCTCAACAGCTTTCGGAATTTTCTTCCTACTAGTACTAAGATCTTATTTTGTCACCTCCCTTATATTTCCCCACTCGTTGATTGTGCTGATTATTTTGATGTCCGTTGCCCTGATCTCATGAAAGATCTATTAGATAAATTGTACCGCCTTCTCAATAGTGCTTTCTGTTTCATCTTCTACCGTCGCAAATTTGATCATGCTTCTTATTTCATGACTCAACTTAAATGGCTTCCTATTCGTCAACGCAGGCAGAATAGACACTCTGCACGTTCAAATTCAAGCTAGTCTTGCCTGCGTACCCGGGACGCTCATTTATTGTAAGTTAAAACGTAAAATCTAATTAAATAGAGCATATTTTGCCATGACAGTTGTCTAACTGCGTGGCGGCAAGGCGGACTCCGCTCGGCGATCGCGCGGGGTAAGAGGGATGAAATTCGTACCAAATAAATGCGCCCTTACATGTTGTGGTCAGTAAAGTTTAATACATAAAGAAATATTTAAATGAAATACTTTTCGTCTTGTCGAAAAAAATAAATAAAAAAAAAGTTTAAAAACGAAACAATTATAATCTGTGGTTCATAATAATTGGTCAAAGCCGACATAATCGCAACCAATCAATATAAAGAGAATGCGCTTATTTGAGTGTACTTTTAGCAGAATATCAAAATAAGCAGAAATTAGTCAATAGGTTTATTTCTATAGATCTATCTCACTTGCTCACGAACTTTTACGTACTTTTTTCAAAACACACACAGTGCACCGACTTTTGTCGGTCGTGTTTTCTGTTTATATGATTTGTAAAATAATTTACGATTTAGATCACACAAACGTTCTTATTTACTGATAACGAATGTGTTTCAGTTTCATTCGGATAAGTGCTCTATGGTGTGCTAGACGTGTCGTGAGTGACTTTGAGACTTGAAAGACTCAATATGGAAGAGGAAACTATAGGGGATTATTTTCCGATGTTTGATGAACCTCCAAAATTCGGGCTCAAGTTACCATTAGATCATGTTTTTCCTTTGCAAAGTAAGCAGTCTATTGTACCAAGACCCAAACAGATACTTGAAATGATGCCTTTAACAGCCAGGTAATGCAATACGTACTTTGACATAAACTTTGTTCATTTTCTTTTGACTATTTTTTTCATTAAAACTCTAACACAAATTACTAAATTTCATTAACCATGTTTTCCTGGCAGATACTTGAAGTACTACATGGGAAAAAAAATACACAAAAAACGTCCTATCATGGATTACATTAATATGATTTCTGCTCAAAGAATGTATGGTAAGTGATCTAGTTACCTATAAAATTTTATGATTTATCCTTATGTATATAAAAGGAACATACAAAATTAAGGCCAATAAGAAATAACTGTCTCACAACAATATTTAAATAAATTTTATTATATTTTTAATTGTAACTTATGCTTAAGGTACTATGTGATATTATAAAAATATAAAACTCGCACTACTCCATATTAGGTCACCACTGTAGTTAACTGTAACTCTAAAGTAAGAATGAATACCTAACAATGGCATACAAACCTACTATAAAGGTTGGATATAGTAAACTCTGTACCATTGAGTTACTATGCTTGCATTTGATACAGGTCCCATCGGTGTTATAGAAAGACTTCAAATTACTTTCTGCTCCTAGCTGCTGCTGCAGAAATGACTCGAAGTCTCTTAAAAAAAATGTTGGCCAATTTTGAGCAAATTTCTTATATTTACTCCTTTTTCCATATTTTAGGATGCCCAATTGGAGGTATAGGAGGAGGTACTATAGGTCGTGGCTTTAAGGGAGAGTTCTGCCGTTTCCAGCTCTACCCAGGACTGTATGAATACATCACAGTACCGGAATGCCAATTCATAGTCAACATCAGAAATGCTAACAATGAAACCATTTTTCAGTCTGTCTTGTCTACCTATGAGTAAGTTCAAGGTTTAATTAACATTATTAGGAGATAATAGTACTTCAATCTTTGAAACTGTTGTCCTAATTATGTATCAATGAATACATACATTCATGAGCAATTTGTGTAATTATAGCAAACCGAAAAAAGCACCAGCCTCATGGGAGTGGAATCTGAATGCTCCTGATTGCGAATACACCGGCTTGTACCCACGTGCATGGACCACTTATGATTTGTCTAAATATGGAGTAAAATTGGTCTGCAGGCAAATATCACCTGTGATACCTCACAATTACAAGGTTAATACTAACCCACCACACATGTGATAGTATGATTCATTAACTATTTTTTGTAACTTCTTGTCTTGGCCTGACTCACTAAAGGTTGTATTCCAGAACTCTACTCAATGCTCAAGTCAGGATTTGAGCAGACTTGAGTATGATTTCAAGCACTGGAAATACTACCCTAATGGCAAGGGCTTGAGTATGATTTTCAGTGCTCACTGCAATACTCAAGTCCTGACTTGAGTATTGAGTAGAGTTCTGGAATACAACCCTAAGAGCATGGAGATTTTTAGTACAATGCCAACGCTCTATTATCTATTATAACTTAAAGATTTTGATTGAGTAGGGCTTAAAATGTGAAAATTATGTAACACAATTTTAAAATTTAACAAAATTTCAACAAAAAAAACAGTCACTTGAGTAAGAGTTATATTACAATATTTCAGTATTTTTTCATCCTGGTTCGGTTATCTCACTGGTTTTCAAATTTTTGTTTTCACTCCAATTTTTACAAGGTGTATTGTTACAACTTGGCATTTTCACGTTTTACTAGAGATCTTCTATGTACAACGATCGCCATGTCACTGGCGATGTTTGTAGGCGTGTCCCCTGGATATGATCATTTTGATCATATCGAGGCGAGATGAACCACGCCCCCATACCAAATCTCCCCTTTTTTCCTATATCTATGATGCCAACGCGCGTATACTTGCATCACGTCTCTAGCGATTTACGGGCAGTTGCATCGAGATCGTATCGCTGCTTAAGTCGCACATATGTGTAAAGGTCGACGATTAGCGACTGCATCGCGACTGAATCGCTGCAGACGACTGCTAATAGTCGCCGTGTGTAACTGCTCTAAGTAACAACCATGACAGTTATATTCTTATAGAAGTTGTCATTTTCTGGACACCAATAATTATAATACTAAATTATATTTTATTGTAAAAACCAATGTAAATATGCTTGCTTTATTTATATAATCTGAATAAAAGAAACTGCATGTAACTAACAGAAGTGCACAATTTTATAGCTTTCTATTGATAAGAACTAGATTACAAGAATTTTGTATTAAGGGCAGAAGCATGTAGGCATAATTCACTTACATCATCGTCAATAAAATAACTTAGATTTTTCTAGTTTGTTTTGTTAATTTCAGGATAGTAGCTTACCTTGTGCAGTATTTGTGTTCTCAGCAAAAAATGTGTGCACTGAAAAGCGAAATGTGAGCATTACATTTACATGGACTGAAGTACTGAATGGGGCCAATAAGAAGAAATCGATAGGTAACAACAGATTCAATTTTCTGTGCATAAATTAACTTTTAATTATAAATTACGAGCAACAACAGCATAGCTGGTGGAACACTTGCTTTTCATGCACGATTGCGAGTAGGTGAGGACCTTTCTTCCATCACTATTGAATTTAATATCACTTGTTTTAATATTACATGAAAACATAAAACCTACATGTAGTACACATAGAAGATTTAATAAATATTTTTCTAAAATTTTTCAAGTCACCGAAATTCAATTGGCTAACAAACCTTCTCCTAGGACTATATCTGTGGCAGATTAATTCTTCCAGTTTGTTAAAAGTTGACTATTAATTTTACTAAAGCCTTTTAAACTAACTAAATTTTTATGTGTTTTTATTATAATAACTACAATGTCTTATAGATAAATATCTTATTATTATATATTATATTAAAATGATTTCCTTACCAACAATCTAATTGTTAATTTATCACCTAAAATACAGTACGTGTGATTAAGCTGATATCATCAAACCACCAATTACATCTTATCTAAATATATTTAATAATCAATGTACATAAATGTTATGTATGCCATACGATGCCATCATTTTATGTGTACTTACTTATTAAATTGCAAGTCTTAGGCTGAATATTGTTCCATATTTCGTGAAATCATGTTCTTTGTTTTGTTTCACAGTGCAATTTTTCATTTTGTTATTTTCTATCTGTTTTGCTCTATAAGTAATAATTGTTTAAATTACTTTGACAATTATTTTAAAATTTATTATAATATTTTAGGAAAATTGGACCTTGAGAGGTATTCAGAAGAGTACACATGTGGAGTCACCCTGGAGCAAAAGATCTCAGACCAGCCGTGTACTTTTACAATAGCGAAAAAAAAAGACGAGAAAGAAACGATTCACGAAGGATATTGCCTATGGAATGCGATTAAAACTTCCAATTATGTGTGGGAGTGTCTTAAAAAGCATGGGAAATTGTCTCCTGATCCAAGCTTAAGTCCGCCTCCGCCAGATAACCATAAAACTGAGAAAAAAAAGAATGAGAAACCACAGAAAATTTATAAATGTAAGATATTAAATAAAAACTGACGCTATATTATACGTACTTTCGTTTTTCAAAGCTAAAACTGTTTGCTATAATTTGGTGCACACGCGTATAATATCTAATACCAGCAAAGTGTACGGTCTATCGAGTACTGACGAATACCCATAATAGTATTACTGGTCTAGCAAGTAAAACTAACAAGTTTCATATGGAATCTAACTTTTTTTTGTTTTACAGGTGATTCCATAGGACTTTCAAGTACTATAACCTTAGATCCAGGGGGTACTGGATGTACGGAGTTTTGCCTCTCGTGGGATATGCCTGTTATTAAATATAAAAAGGATCAAAAAGTTCACAAAAGGTTGAGCAAACTTCTAAATAACAAATTATAATAAAATGTCGCTTTTAATTTTCACCAACTTACACTTGATACTCGATATTGTTTTAAATTCGCTTTACGGGTTATCTTATGCCAACGTCTTTCTACAACGCTTTTAAACGAGACTTACACAGATCGTTATTACACACTGAATAACTTGACGTGTACGTGTTTGACGCCTGTATCACCCAAATCTAACGAAAATGTTTATAATACACCCATTGGCCTTTGCTGGTGGGTCAATGAATACATCCCAAAAATTCGGATTCTGCAAAGGATGCAATACAACCATGACGAAACGGCTGCAGAATAGTGGTCTGTGAATAATATTATTAGCAATCTTAGGCCTTGTTTAAGTTTTGGAGTTTGGTTTGTATCAAGTACAATATTTTTATTTTATTCAATATATTGTTTTTACTACCATAATATTAATGTGTTTTTGGGAAACTACTATTAGTTTGGTGTTATTACCCATACAGAGATCGAACTAACGCAAAGAAAAGTTCCTTCGATCCGGCTGGATTCTAACCAGCGACTTTGCCAGACCGTATCCAAGTATATTTTAGGACTTTTCCCTGGCGAAATAATTACGTTACAATTTTACTAAATGCTTATTTATAGATATTACACAAAATACTTCGGCAGCGACGGCATCGCGGGTACCTGCATAGCGGCATACGCGCTCAAAAACTACAAAAACTGGGAGAAGCAGCTTGATGACTGGCAGGACCCGATACTCAATAATAAGTACGATATTCAAGCTGTACAGAAAAATTAAACATTTTTAAAGAATGTCTCTTGTTTAGGGTGATCTATATTTTCCGTACATTTAGTTAATAGTGGATTTATTTCAGCAATATACCAGATTGGTTGAAAAATGCCTTAATGAACGAGCTCTATTACGTTGCGGACGGCGGGACGATTTGGTTTGACGTCCGGGAAGAATTCCCTGATTCAGATCCTAGGTAATTTGCCTATTCTCTTTTCCATTATGTCTCAATATATACGTCAATTTTATATTTTTCACGACGCGATTTCTGTGTAATTTTCACTTAATAAGACGTACATAATCAATATAATCGGTGGAAAAGAATAGACTAGATTTTGGAACGACCATGAGAGATTCTTTTATAGGAGCATCGTGTGGCTAGCGCGATCTGGCTATTGATTGTATGACTGATGAGGTCGTTACCTCACCACAAATCCCTCGAACGTCCTAATGCTCGCAAGCTTTTTTAAAGGATCAAAACAATTGTACATACTGAATATTTTAAACAATTTTTACGAAATTTACCTGTTAATTTAAATTTAACTTGAACTTAACTCGCGTTGCTAAGTGTCACTTAAATATTATGCAATTTATGGCGAACCATTTGAAGTTTCCTTATAAGAATTTATGGAAGAAGTCTGTTTAAAGGATATAGGGTATTTTTGCCTCTTAGCATGCTAAGCAGTCCCCGTATTTGACGGGAATTTCTAACACAGACTTCTAACTGAAAAAACCGTATATGCATTCTATTATTTAGAGCTGTGTTTATAGGCCAATAGGTCCTTATCATTTTGTGTTTATTCTGATTGTGTACTTCGTTTTTTACAGACATGATTTCGGGCTATTCGGATACTTGGAAGGACACGAGTACAGAATGTACAATACGTACGATGTCCATTTCTACGCGTCTTTCGCTTTGGCTCAACTCTGGCCTAATTTACAAGTTAGTACATGTAATTTATACACGACATCATGTCAAATACAATTTATTTTAAGCTCTGTTGCTCGAGTGTCCTGTGTTTCATCAAGTAGCATACTGGCTCGAAAGACAATTTTATTTTTTCTTAGACACTAGGGGGTTGAAATAGAGGTCGATAGAGGTATATGGTAAAAGATAGTCAAGTAATGAGATAGGGATAGGAAAATAATGAGTCAATTGCTTGACGCGAGGATCCCTGGAAAAGGACGGCTGCCATATTTTCGTTGGGAGGCTGATAGGCGGATTAATGAAGCTGAAATGTGCTATATGCAGGAGTATAAATTTATCTTTTAGTCATGGATGGAGCAATAAAATAACGTTATTTTTCGCAATCATTTATTATAATTTCAATGTATTCAATTTTACGCGACTATAACACTTTTTGATTTTCAGGTGGTGCTTCAATATATGTTTCGAGACACAATTACAATGGAGACAGAGAAAAGTAGGCGGTCGCTATATAACGGAAAAACTGTCAAATTCAAAATTAAGGATTCAATACCACACGATTTAGGAGATCCACGTAAGACACATACTCAAATTAATTGCGATACATTGTAGTTATTACGCGTCATATAGCATCTGCAGCAAGTCCTAAACAAACTCGTTCTGTTGGATTTGAGCATTTTGTTTTTGTCTATAGATCTCACATTAGAACATTTTTGGCAGGCAACAGACGCTGGTTCAAGTCCAGTCAGATCAAAGGAATTATTTTACATACATTATTATACATTATTTTTTTTTTTTCTACATATTGCGACTGAAAAAAAAAGAAAGTTTCATTAGTTTATCTCGTCGCACTAACCGCAAAAAAGCCGTTTAAACCCAATACAAAGATTTGCAACAAGCACTTGATTTGAAACGTGATGGGACGAACAAGTCGTGCGCCTGATGAGTGGCACTCGGAGCTTTAAATCGCAAAGATCTGAGGGGCACTGCCACTGCGCCCGTCAACCTTAGACATAAGTTGAAAAGTTCCATGTGCCTGTATTTCACTAGAACCCTGATACTTCAAAATCGGAACGCGGTAATGCTCTCATAACTGCTTGGCGGCAGAAATAGGTAAGGAGGTGCGGGTCAATGGGGCGTTCAAGGTTTGCGCGTACATTGTGTCTTGTGCTGGATGTATTCAACACAAGACACGTGTCTGCGCGCAAACTTTGACGTATATTGTGTCTTGTGTTGGATGTAATCAATACAAGGCACACGTTTGCGCGCAACTCTTGAACGCCCCGCTGAACGCACCACTGTTCCGAATTTGCAGCCTTAGAGATCTTCGTGCGATCTGCTAACTCGGACTGTAGCTCAGTTGGTAAGCACAGTAGCTACGGTGTGGCAAAAGACACTGGTTCGAGTCCAGTCAAATGTATCAGTAACAAGCCTCGGATAATCTTTAATATCGTCTACACTTTCATATTCTAAAATATAACAACATCATTTTATATTACATATATATCGGAACAATTTCTCGCAGACGACAGACCATTCTCAAAGATAAACGCCTACAACATCCACGACGTGAGCGAATGGCGCGACCTGAATCTGAAGTTTATACTGCAAGTTGCGCGCGACCACCGCCTGCTTCGGGCTTACTCCGCACCTTTCACGTCTGAAAGGTACCGCTCCATGACGTATATAGACGACGTCAGAGACGGTACTGAAGATGACCTCTATGCTCGCTCTACGGGACAAGCCGACGATTCCCGAACGCCTTCTGAAACGCCCGCGTCAATCAAACAGCCCACTCCAGTTGCCAACATTGAGAAGCCGCCTATTGGGGATATTTTAGACCTACTGTACAGGTTAGACTTTGGAGTGATGCAAGTGTCTAATATGCCCCAGTTAGTACATAACCCTATGAATGTACTCATAAATGTTGTAGATTCGTAGTCATTTGCTACGAACTAGCCTAGCATGGTAATGCATGTCCGTATACAACCATGCAACGCAAGGAGAAATACTTGCCTGTTTAACAGAGAATTCTGTACAGGAGTATACCACATCAGGCAGACGAAGACGTGCAGCATTTACCAAGAGAAGCAACAGTCGCTGTGTGGGACAGTCGAAAGTACTTAGCTGATATGTATCCGTCGTGCGCGGCTTTGTTACGGCGATGTGCACAATGGGACACTGATGGAGATGGTCTGATTGAAAATAGTGGAAGCCCGGATCAGACTTTCGATGCGTGGGTCATGACTGGTCCTAGGTAAATGTCAAACATATTTAATAGATTCAATGTGCTATATCAACGCATATTCATCCCACTGTTTAGCGGTCTGTGTTTGCATCATTTGACATGTTGGTAACTTTTGATGCAGTCGATGATAGTTGCTTAGATGGTACCTAATCACTCCAAAAAGGCCCGTTGTTGCTGGTTGAAAACTTATCGTCATTTTTTAAGATATGCAAAAATTGTCACTTTATGGACAACAATATGATTGATTATTATTACGTAATCATTTATTAACAATAATTATTACTTATTAATATACAATAAGTAATACTTATCTAGTAATAAAGATTTACAAGTGCATTACAAAATAGCAAATATTTGGACATTTGATTTTTTAATGTTCAGTTTTCTTATTATTAATTTAATCTATAATAGTGTATACGCATTCGGGTGGACAATTTAATCATATAATATTATTACAGAGTCCTAAAATACTGACCTCAGAAGTTCGTGGAATTACATCTATTTGCCAAATTTTATTGAAATCGGTTACCGGAAAGTGCGCGACACCGGATTCATTACCTAGTTTGTCACTCTTTGAGGTGGAAGCTTTTCCTCAAATTTAAACGGGACTAATACTGAGGTAGTACAGTAACACAATTGACCATAAAGTTCATTATGCTATGTACAATATCGTTACAAAAATTCGCTTCCATTCTGTGCCGCAGCAACATAAATTGAGCCTTAGGGAGACGGACTCAGTGACAGTGCCCCTCAGATATTTGCGCTCTAAAGCTCTAAGTAGCACTTTTTTTGCTATGGACAAGCGTGTTGCTTACCATCAGGCGCACGATTTTACGACATTATTTCTGTCGCATATAAAATATTGTCTACATATCCTTTAGACGAACTAATGTTGTGTAATGTTCTCGCGCATGCTCAAGAATGCCCGCACATTCCGCGGAAGATTTTGGCTCCTATTCAATTTTTTATGTTACACAATTGAACTTTTTTCATTATGTTATGTACATACAACATCGCTACTAAAATTCGCTTCCATTCCTTTCCGCCGCAATATAAATTGAGCCTTAAAGTGTTTTCAGATCGGCCTAAGCCGTTTTTTCGTCAACTGGTTTGGTAGTCGTTCTTTGTATTCAACTTTCAGTGCGTACTGCGGTGGTCTATGGTTAGCAGCACTAAGCGGTGTTCGCAACATGGCACGTTTGTTAGGACTGGAGGACGAGGAGCGCGAATTCGCCAAAATTCTCGACCACGGTCGTCATTCGTTTGAAGAGAAATTATGGACTGGCAACTATTACAGCTTTGATGTCAAGCCTTCTAATAAAAACGTTATTATGGCGGATCAGTTAGCTGGACAGTGGTAAGTCGTAAAAAAAAGAATGAATACCCCTTTCTATAAGATCTTAGAACATCAAGTATTCCTGTTACGAAGATTTTGACCTATATTTGTAATCTATAGTATATTGTTTGTGGGGCTTCCATTTCACGTTTCCAAACGCATCTGTCTCCGAATTTCACGTGTTACAATAAAATCGCACCTCCCGACAAAGGAGTAGAGTCCATCCCCACATGTCAGATGACATGGCATTGTAAGACCACGCGGGCATCTTGTTCGTTCCTACCTCGAACCTGCAAGATGTGGAATAATCTTTCTCCCGAAGTATTTCCTTTGCGCTATGACGTGGGGTTCTTCAAAAAACGTGTTTATAGGGCTTTCAAAGGCTGGCAACACATAGGCAGCTCATCTGATGTTGCAAATGTCCATGGGCGACGATGACCACCTCCCATCAAGTGGCTCGTCTACTTGTTTGCCTCCTTCTTTACATAAAATAAACAAGGCTATATCAACACTTTCATAGAATGTATTAAAAGATATATAATTACCAATGACAGTTCAAAAACTACTTGTAAATAACAAATTGTATCCTAATACTTTTTCCGGGGAAACCCTTTTAATCATTTAAAATTTTTCTTTTCTTACTTTCTTGTTGTTCTGATTCCTTTAAGTTTAACTTACGTAAATTTATCGTTTAAGCTGAGTCGTTGCCAAACCCAACTCAGATACTAACAAAGAAACTGAAATAAAAAATCACCTTGCATAAAGAATATTCAAATTTTTTTTTAATGACAAAATAAGTAAGTCAAATGACTTGCATCTCACCTGATGGAAAGACAATGGAGTCGACGATGGAGCACACACACCTAAATAATATAACTTAATTAGCACCAACGTTGCTCAGGTTCCTCCGCGCCTCCGGATTATCAGACCCAGTGTTCCCCGAGGCAAATGTAAAGAAGGCCCTAAAAACGATTTACGAGAACAACGTCCTACAATTCATGGGTGGTACCATGGGCGCCGTCAACGGCTGGGTGGCAGGTGCACGCGGCCACGTCGACACCACGGCGCTGCAGAGCGAAGAGATGTGGACTGGAGTCACTTATGGGTTGTCTGCTCTTATGATCTACGAGGGTGGGTAAATAATACAAAGCCTTTTGAATTTTATTTATTATTATTATTTTGTCGGTCTCGATGGCCTAACGGTTTATACTGTGAGCGTTGAATGCAAAGGTCTCGGGTTCGATTCCCGGTAGAACCAAGTGAAGGAAATGAACTTTTCTAAATTGGTTCTGGTCTGGGTATTTTGGGATGTGCCCCAGAGTGAAGTCCGTTGCTTTGGTACTCATAGTACTGGGAATTCCCTAGTTTAAAACCAGGCAATTGGTATTAAACACGTTATTATAATTATGATACGAAGTGACAGGACGAACTATTCGTGCGCCTAGTGGTAAGCGACACGCCTGTCCATAACAGTTCCAGTGCCGCTCAAAGCTTTAAATCGCAAAGACCTGAGGGGCACTGCCACTGCGCCCGGCATTCTGAGATGTAAGTTGTAAAGTCCCATGTGCCTGTAATTTCACCAGCACCTTCGCCCTTCAAAACCGGAACGTCGGTAGAAATAGGTAAGGTGGTAGTTCTTTCCTGGATGAACTCTTTCGCAAGGAGCTCTACTGCTACTATTAATAGTAATGTTATTTATAAATGAAAACCTCGTGAGAATTGCATGCCGAGACAGTCCTTAAAACGTTTCTAGTCTTGTGATGTCGCCCAACCTAACACATAGTGCAAAGCAGAAAACTCGCGCGTACGGAAATACAGGGGGGCGATTCATGTAATCAAACCGTTGTGATATCGTAGCGATTTAGTCGTTGAACTGCTTTTTCGTATTCACGTGTGACAGTGAACGTCAACGAGGCCAATTTTAAAGTCGTTCAATCCAAATGTCGTTAAAGCGTATTCTGGTATATGAATCGAACTTAAATCGATCTAAACGACAAGTCATACGTATTCTGCAAAAATTTTGACAATTCTTTCAATAGACTTTTGACGACTAATTGTCAAATTTCACAATGCAAGATGTCGTTCATTAGTCGTTACGTTTCGATTCTCCTCATATCAACGTTCGTTCAAGTGATACGTGAATACCCATTTTGGATAGGACTTCGATTGAACGACTACGTAACTTCAACGATATTTTGACAGCTTGAACTTACGTGAATCGCACTACATGGCAGACAGTAACCAAGTTTTATTGGTTATATTTGCTAAAATTTCGGAGTAAATATCTTTCCTATTTTCGTAACATCTAATAATAATCAAGAGCGTAGCAGGTGGAAGTCCATAGTATCTGCCTACCCCAGTGAGAGACAGGCGTGTGATATATATGTGTGTAATAATATTACCTATTTTTCAGGTATGCACGATGAAGCCTTCGCAACAGCTGGCGGTATGCACAACACTCTCACACAAATGGGCCTGTCATACGAAACACCTGAAGCTCTATACGCCAATGGGAACCACCGTTCCATCGCATATATGCGACCCTTGTCCATTTGGGGAATGTACCAGGCAATACTGACGCGTCCCCCACCCCTCACACCCGCCTCCCTTCCCAATGGACTTGTTAACCATACAGATAAGTCAAACTCATAGTATTTGTTATTACATTAGTAAAGCATATTGAATGGTAGAGCTTACATATTTTGAATAGATCCAATCTTGATACATTTTCAATATAAATACAATTTCGGTAAAAACAGCGGCATGAGCTTACGAATACCAGGGAAGGTTTCAGCTACACTAATATGTTTATACGTGTATAGGATTGGGATGTAGCGACAGTGGATCAATTTGAATTGAAGTATACAGAGTTTGTATGATGGATTGGGCCGAATTAAGGCTGAAACTATCTTAAAGATAGGTTCCTTTTTTTCCTATGAACTTTAAAGATTATAATTGAGGGCAAAAATTTCATTATCTTTGTTACATGCATCGTTTTAACTTTTAAATAACGCTCGTTTAGTGAATTATTTTAAAAATAACGACTAAATCGAGCAGTTATGAAAACAAAATTTTATCTTAATTTTTGTTTAAATAATGTAATGTTTAAGTGTCCCATTGAAGTACGTGCAAAAATTTTGAAATTATAATTCGAATACGATCTGTTGACGAGTGTTCACGTTAAATATAGCCTGCCTTTTTTTTAAGACGGAGTAAAATTACATTTGTAGGGTTTGCTAGTTTTCATAAAATTTTAAAGAGTTTGTAGTTGTCGATAGTTTTATCGATAGATTATGAAAGAAGATCAAATTTTGCAAAAGAATTTACTGAATTGTGAATGTTACGACGTTCTAATATGTATGTTTGCATATGCTATATTTTCCATTTTTATATATATTATTGCCTTCTTTATTCTTACTTTGACAGTTGGCCTACTAGTACCGAGGTCAATTTTTATTCATATACATTTTAACAAGAATAGCCAGATTTCATTATCTATATAGAATTAAAATGGAAAACTTTAAAATATGTCTCCTCTTTGCATTTTTTTATAAATGTAGTTCTAAATACAGTGCATGTATGAACTTCCAAAAATGGACTATTCGAATGAACTTTTGTTCAGTAATTGAATGAATAATGGGCAGAGGATGATTCAAATGTAATAAGTTCGGCTATTTGTTCCATAAACCTGACCAATATTCAGTCGATAGTCGATAGAATATTTATCGACTGCAATCACTAGCTGCTCGCAAGCGGGTAACACATTTGCGTAATGAACTGTCATTTTAATCCGTCTTCAAAAAAGAAACTATAAGTTACCCTTACTAAAATTCAAAACTACCTCAATAGTCTAGGTTTGCGGCTTGCTCACTATGGACCCATAGAGTATAATCACAAGAGTAGCTTTCTGCAACTGCAAAATAGCAATTCGAATACAGTGGAAGATGCAAGCAGGCAGCAGTTCTGCCCTCCTTGTCATAAACAACGCATTTCCATTGGTAACTTTTGAGCGCGCAAAGTTTTTTTTTAAACAAACTAAATAAAATATAAAAAACAGCTTATAAGGAACCCCTTATATTTTGGTTATAGATCTCGTTTTGCTAATTCCAGATATGTTAATAACATAATTTAGTGAAAATGTCGATTACGTTGTTTATGACAACGATGTCAGTGTTGTGGTGTCGCGTTGCAATTGACGTGCAACCATAAACTGCTTCCAGATTGCATTAAAGTTATTTTGCCATTGCGATATAGTCGGAATGCAGCTCGCGTGGCAACGCGTTAATATTCGAAAAATAGGATGTCGAATCGTTCTACTTTGATAGACTGTAACTTAAGGTTTCTGCTATCGGTTATTATATCTAAAGCCATTCGAAACAAGTTAATGTTGCACAAAATACTTGGCTCCGTGCAATTAAATTAAAACTATCGCAGCTCCTGGATCAGCATATCTTATTGTACTAAGCTAAAGTAAGTCTTAGTTTTTTTTTTGTTTTTCGTAACCTGATATATTATTCTAGCCTGGCTCAATATTATATTCGTGAAATGTTATTGTAAGTAACAAATTGTATTTTTTATTAAAATATGGCGAAGGTCAGCCGGTTCGTGGCGCTAGCGAGTAGTACGGAGCCGCACGGAGTTAGGGTAAAACATTAAATCAAGACTCAACGCAAACGATGTACTTGAGACGTAGTTTTTGTCTACTATTGCGTATCTTCGCATAATTTTTTCTTTTGGCGTATAATTTTATATCTCAAGCCATTGATCTAACAGTATTACATTAAAAATGCAGTTTACTTGAATTGTCTAATCGTCTGCATTGAGGCTTAATTTTTCATGTCTTTAAGAGCGGGCGCACACCACGAACTTAGTTCGCGTGCGGTTGATGCAAACGAGTGTGCAATAGGATATAGTAATCCCCATCATAAGAACGATAAAGACAACCCGCCGACTTTTTAGTCGGTGGCGTGCCCCCGCTCTAATAAGACGTAATATTGTGATATTTCGTACGTAACGAAAACCCTAAATGAAGTAATGTGATTTTTATACTTAATAAAATAAAGCATTTAAATTTTTTACTTACCAATTGTTATACTTACCAAGGAAAGCAACGAGATTATTGAAATAGTTATTTATTAGTTTTGTTTCTATTTAAATTTATAATGTTACTAAATTACTTACATGATATGAAGTGTTATGCTAACAAAAATGTGGTATTCAATTAGACAAAAATTGTCTTTAAAAGCTTTGGTTTAACGTTCAATTTATGTTTGTTTATATGTACGTGATGTATTAAAAACTAAAAATAAATAGGAAATGAAACAACACAAATGTTTTTTGTTTTGATATTTTATAGGTATAAATGCATTTTGAGACACGCGCGTATGTGCACGCGTAACACGTATTTCTATAACTTCATCGTTTGTTATGTATATGTTATATATCCCTATTCTATAACATAGACTAAACTACGTATTTTGTGTTATTTCAATAGATCGTATCGCCTGTGGGTGAATTTTAGACGTATATTGTTGATAAGACGTAAATAAATAAAATATTACTACTAATTCTTTTAAAGTATTTACAAAGTATTTACATAAATATTCATTCAGTCTTCATTACCGATGTGGACGATCGTCCAGGACATATATCCAAACACAGAGGCACAATGTAGAACATAATTATACCGAAAATAATAAATTTACTTGAACATTCACATTTTGTATTTAGTATAAAACAGACTTTATACATATATCGAGTTCCTATGTTTTCGCGATTGTTACACATAGGAAATGAAACTATTTTTTCGGATCTTGTATTTTATAATAAAGTTCTGTGATTTCTTGTATGACATTTTTTAGCAAGTCATTAATGGACACCATTAACTTTTACAAGGCTGAATGTAAAGCTTGCAATACATGTTGGTCCAGCGTTGGCGAGTGAAGTCCAATACCAACGTATGGACAGCCTATTTGCTTTGCTTTGCCGTCGCTCGGTATCGCTCGCCTAGCCGAGTGAAGGTGAGCGCCAACGTGTACAAGGCTCATTGCCGGGCACTAACTAAAATGCGCCTAAGTGACAACTGGTCAAATAACCGTTTTAAATTGCAAAAAATAGATCAAAATTCTTTTTTAAAAACAGTTGAAATTAGTTAACGTTTTCGACTTATCGGAACTTGTCCTAGCGATGCATAGCTGAAATGTCATTAAACAATTTCAATATTCTAAAACTGGGTTATGGTTTTCTAAGAGATCTCAAAAAAATATTTTGTCACTTAGCTGCATTTTAATTAGCGGATGGCATTTGGCGTGGCTCGTCACAACTCACAGTCGCTCGACCACTTGTTTCACTTCTAAGCGGCCAATGTGTTCACACGTTTGTGACAAATAGATAGTTAAATTAATAACTTGTGTAACATAGTGAGAAATAGGCATTTTGCATCAGTAATCCATGACTATGGGACCCAGAAATTTATTTATTAAACTTTGGTTCGTTTCGATAAACAAAAATACGCTATTTAAATCCGAGAAATAGATTTCCAAAGTTTTAATGTAAATTGAAATGTTAATGTACGTTGTCACTTCGTTTCAATGCCCAATGAAAAACTGACGGCGGCGGCGCCAAACGTGTGAGCAGCTCCACAAAGCTCTTCCACATTGGCTGTTTGTATTGCACTTGTCCAAAGCGTAGACGGTAGCACCTGTCTTGTATCAACTTGCGCAATTTTTATTTTGGATATCTATTTAAGACTCTCGCCTCTCCCAAGGTCAAAAAAAATTTTTTTTAAGTATTATTATAACATGTATTGCAGGTTTTAGGTTTGCGTTCCGAACTTCCGACATTTTAGGCCTTAATAACTATAAATGTTATATATTCTTAACTAGTTAAACTAATTTCACGACGTTCCTGTCGTAGGTTTTGTGTTTGCGATAGCAAAATAATCCTTTTTTGGAGCAGATTGCATATCTTAAAGAACTTTAGTCACGAGTATTTCCATAGGTTCAAGTATAACTGGTACTTAGATTTGGAGGGTGCAGTATGGATAAATTGACGGTTTCTATTCTTCTTATCGTATTGATGGCATATAGCATAATGCTTATGGTTTTCTAGTTTTAAAAGACTGTTTTAAAATTACTATCGCCATAAATTAAATACACTAGTACAAAATTGAAGACTACGTGTTAGATAAAGATGTATAGAAAGACGACATGGCTAGATTCCACACAAATGATTTTTTGAATTGGTATTCCATAGCATTTAAGGTTATTTGAAAAGAGCAATCCCTAGAGTTTCTTGCTCGTTCTTCTCAGGGAAGTCCGCGTAGTGAACGAGCAGTAGCTTAAACGTGACGTTTTGAAGTGTAAATTTATTTTACCTATGAAATAAATGGTTCTTTGACTTTGACACTTTTAAGGAGCGCAATGCAGGGATACAGATTATCGCCTACCGATCTTAACGTAATTATATTTTTTTTACAAATGCTTTTCACCTTATTGGGAAGAAAGGAGACACTTTGTATTTTGCAGAACCACGTGCTAAGTGTGTGTAGCCGAAATGTTCATATACATATGCGCGCCATCCCTGTCGTCGCAACGCGGTCTGTCGCGAGAGAAGTTCAGTCGCAAGTGTGTATCTGAGTCACAGTCCAGTCGTTCGCGAGACGCTGATGCCTCTCGTTCTACTATTGTCGCCATATGTTGGCCTCTGGAACAAGGAGTTTCACATCTTTGTTTGAAATCATCCGAGTGGATGAATAAATTTAAAACAATGCATTGCATCCGAATGAGATCGCGCCAATTTCAACAGTGTTTTACTCTAAAAACTTACCGGATATCATTCTTAGGATGACCGAAGGTAGTAAACTGAGGACATCCATTGAGTGGACGTGGTGGCGGTGGGATCAGGTAGTCATCCAGCCGACTGTCTCCATCGCAAGCTGAGTGCATGGTGAGGGTACTTGAGGATATCTGCAAAATGTACAATTATACTTTAGCAAACCATTAAAGATTGAAATTTTCAATAAGTTATTTAACGCGATACTTACGATCGACCTGGCCTTGTCATCCATTTCGGATTGAACGCTATTCGTTTCACCAACACTGCCACCACTCACCGTACTCAAACGTCCTGACGAGGATGAACCTTTAATTTAAAACTTTAATATTAAATATGCGAGCTCGGCTACTGCAAATTTCAAAATTTACGTGTCTACTTACTTTCACTCAGACTACTGTTTGGTCTAGTACCATTTCTCTTCTCGATAGTACCATTATTGTCGTGATCTGAAAAAATATTTACATTTAGAATCTGTCGTACATAGTACGATATTGTATATTTTGCATCAATGAAATGTGATACTTACTTTTATTTTTGTTCTTTGAAAACATTTTCTTGACGCGCTCAAAAGGCGTTGGTCTCTTTAAATTCTCTTTGATTTTCTGTTGAATCTTGTCGTACTCTTCTCTCATCTTGTTTAGTTGTTCTTGCTTCTCCTTCAGAGACTGCTGAGTCTCGTTCCTATTTTTCCATTCTAACACTAGTTTTTCTACTTCAGATATAGTGAATACATTATTCTTGAAATCATTTATAATTTCAGCTAATTCCTCTTGTGCGGTTACTGGGTAATTTTCTTTTCCAGATTTTACGCTGCCACTGTTGCGTAGCAAATCTTTGGTACTTAGGTTTATTTGACTAATGTCACTTGTAGGAGTGTCGATAGTGAAAGTCTTCGATTCTTCAGTGGGTGAGTACAGAAATATGTCTGCTTGTTGTGGCATTAGCCTTGAACTATTTGCGTACAAATTATTCGGTCGGAACTTGGGACTCTCTACCTTAATATTCGACGGTTGCACTAAATAGTCGTGTTCGATAGCTTGTTGGATTCTGCTCTCTGTGTCGTCGTGAATCATGAAATCATTTTGATATAATTGCTCTTTTGGTTTTGGTAATTTCAAGATCGGTCTATGTTTCTTATCTTCTGATTCCTCGAGAACTTCCAGATTATGTGTGCAAGCTTCGCTGAAGGGATCCGGCGATGGTTCTATTCCATTAACTTCAGTCTTATCAGAGGGTGAATCGACGGTATCACATGGCTCTACAATGCGTAACTCTTCTTGTTTTACATCTTCTTGCATATCATCTTTGTCATTATCTGACATATTTTTCAAGTAGTAATACATATTAGAGAATTCATTTATTTTCTACAAAAGAAAAGAAGAGTAAGGTCATTGTTAGATGCAGCGCGATATATATTTTTTTCAATCAATAGTCTTAATATAGCCCTTACCATGTGATCTTGCAAAACTTCAGCAAGCCGATGATGCTTATGGTCCCTTGCAAGGTCGGCAGGTGAGCGATGGCGGACGTTGCGTAGCGCCACCGCCGCACCTCCGCCTGGGCACTCCAGTAGCTGCCAGCAAAGGCGCTCCAGACCGAATCTGGCTCCCCAATGAAGGAGAGTGGGATACTCCTCTGTACCTACGCGTAATTGTTGTAATTAAAAACACAAAATTTTTAAAGGGGATTTTCAAGATCATCGAAATGATCATCGTGTTATGTAGGCACACGGGTACTTATTTGAAATATTTTGTAAAGTTTGATTCGTAGTTACGAATATTTGTAGCTTTTTCTTAGAGATTTCCATACATTTGATTAAATTTTCTACTAAGGCTATCGGCGCAAAAGTGGTGTAACCAACATTTAATTTTTTCCTACAATATCATTTTACATGGTACTAATGCTACTTTCATGTATAAAAAAATAATAATTGTATATTATTACTACATAGCTCACATAATTTTCTATGATGCTACCTACACACATGAAAAGTATCAGGGATCAAGCACGTTTTTGCTAATCACTGAAAATCGGGCTTCTTAATTATGTTTTGCTTCACACCAATGGTTTTTTTTTTTTGGTCAATTTCAAATTATGAAATTGACGAAAAAAACCATTGGTGTGAAACAAAACTAAATCAATAAACAATTTAAAAAAAATACTTTGATCCCTAGACACCTTTGATGTGCCTATATATAAAATGAATTAGGCAAAATTAAAATGTCTCATTATTATTTATATGCATTTCATGGGGTTACACCACTTATGCATTGAAAGCTTCAATTATTCCACTCTGTAAAGCTGACCACTGAAGTAGAGAGTCATAATAAAAGTTGCAAGCGTCCACAGTACAAAAAAGGTAGGTAGGAAGCGAGTAATTTTGCCTACAAACTTTTAATTGTTTTAATTAACTGCTCGTATATTCAACAATAGCTTCTTCCGGCCCTTTTATTGACATTACAACTTTAATTACGATCTGAGAATAGATGTGTCATGAATCGAGGTGATTCATGACACATCACCTTTTTTATTGTATATACTTTTGTAAGTACTTTTCATTATATTTATACAGAATAAGTAATAAGTACTTAAATGTTAGAAATTGGCAGTGGTGATGTTTGAATAAAAAGGGGTATTTTCGTTATTTGTATAAATATTCTAGAGTTACTATATTATTATCGGTTATTGTAAAAGAGCTTGTAACTAAATTGGAGGAATACGGACGACTCTTATTAACGTCAATAGCAGAATCCACGATGGAAAAAATACATAAACTTGTTTCATAACGTCCTAATTTCTTCCTTTGGAAACTCTTTATACATTACGTGTTTTACTTACTTGAAACATCAACCTTAGGGTTGAACTGCTCAGTAGAAGACAGCAAATTAAAGTGTGGAGGGATATTCTTTTGGAACGCATTCAGCATCCAGCTGTCCAGCTGCTCCTTGCTGGTAGCTTTGAACCCGAGCGTCTAAAAGAACGAATTATTACATTTTCATTAAACGACACGCGTTGTAGAGACACGGCGTTCCAAACGTTTTTTTTTAAATTATTTTTGGTGAAATTACAGGCACATGAGACTCAGGGTGACGGGCGCAGTGGCAGTGCCCCTTAGATCTTTGTGTTTTAAAATTCTGAGTGGTACTGCAACTGTTAGGGGCAAGTGTATCACTTACCACCAGGTGCACGACTTGTTCGTCCCGTCAATTGGTACCATAAAAAACCGACCTCAAAAGCCATTCATCCTCTAGTTTCCCACCCTTAGAGGTGGAATATTTTCTTCAAAATTAAATGGGATCACTACTGACTCTTTCCGACAAAAAGAATCATCAAAATCGGTTCACAAATTTTTGCCGGAGTTGTTGCGTAACATACATATAAAGAAACAGTCCAATTGAGAGCCACCTCCTTTTTTGAAGTCGGTTAAAAAATAACTTCAACTCTTATAATTTTTTATAAATTTATATTTTAAAACGATAGATGAAAACACAGCTGCACGTTAGAGACACCGTGTAACTCTAGGACGCTACAGTACGAAAATCGTTAGGTTAGGACACTGTACGGTCTGCGACGGATAATACGTTCCATCAGCACTTTACGCCTTATATTTAGTTGCAATTTAAATCAATTCACAATCAGCAATCAGTAGGTACCCTTTCAAATCGCCAATCTATCAAACAAAAACACCGTACAGATACCATTCTCGTCAATTCCTTTGTTCTATGTTACACAGTTCAGTCAAATTTGTGCACCATTTCCCCTCGCAGAGAAGCCCTTTTCGAAGATATTTCTTCCACAGTAAATACTAACCTGACACATAAATTCTAAAGGATGATCAGAGGCTCTCAATAATTGGTCCAGTTCTCTCAATCGGCTTTCGCACTTAATTTGTCGACGACCCAGCGACTGGCCGTTCTTGCTCACACGTACCCAGATTAACATAGAAACTTCCAAGCAAGATTCTGAAATAAAAAATACAAAGTTACCAAAAGTTTATTCCAGATATACATACATACACTTCGCCCCCTTATCAACTATACAAGGCCCCGTCTTAAATGTCAAAATGCATTATAATTCATATTCCTAAACTTAAACGCAAACTTTCATGGTGTTCTTTGAATTTAAGATACTATGTTACTTATAAGGAATTAATCTTTTTAAATGACTCTTTTAATCGACATCATAAAAATACAGGATGCTAATTTTTACTATTTATGTCGCCTTACTTTCTGAAATCGTATCTCAAAGCACAAAGTTATTGCAATGCAAAAAATGGATTGTAGGTGTATACACATTTTGCACGCTGATTTCACATCACATTTCCTTCATATTCACACACGGGCTTTTACCTATTCTTAAAGTATTTGCGTCCGAATTAACACCCTTGATAAAAAATTTAAAATAAATGGAAAGTTTTGGCATCTCCTGAATAATCTCTCTGTATAAGATACGACTTTGAGAAAGTAAGGCATTGATTTGGTCGGTACGATTCTTAGATAAGGCGAGCAACATTTTAAAAGTCTTTGAATGCAATATTATATTTAAGAATAAAATAATGTCTCCTTGTAGCAAAATATCCTGTCTACAATATTTAAAGTATACTTCCCTCCGTGTCGCATAACCGTCTGACACCCTGTATATTATAGATACACATTAACCCTATTCAATCTGTTCATCTGTTTGATACTTTTGTCATGCAACGATCTAGAAATGTTCTAGTGCCAATTTTACTTATTTGCACTTACCTGGTATATCGAATTGAAGAGTATAAGGGTTCCTTTTCTTGAAAGTGGGGATTTGTATGACCTCGCCCTTCTTATCCACCATTATCTTAATGCTGTCCTCATCTCTTATGGGGTCATTCAGAAGCGCTATCACTCGACTCTGACCCTGATAACGAGATATATCAGCTCCATTACAAAAATTAGAAGAATTTCTTTGTCAGTTACGTGTAGGTACTTGAAAAGTGCTTATCTATTTACTTAATTTCTTATTGACAGACAAATAAACTGAGTACATTTCAAATGTCTTATAAATACGTACGTACATTATAAATATGAAGTTATATTTGTACTGTTGACTCAGAATGGTTTTCTAAATGGGAGAATTGAAATTAGATATCGAAATAAAAAAAGTAGGAGAACTTGAGTTGTTTAAAGCAATATTTCTTTAGTGCCTAGTAGATTACTCTTTAAACGGACGGGTCACATACGTCATAAAACTGAAAACCACATTAGAATTACTAATTGTGACTCAACATTGTTATAACTTGTTTATAAAAAACCGACCTCAAAGTTTAGTTATCAGTTTTCGCTGTGTTCTAGAGGTGGATCAAATTTGAATAGAACTACCATTAACGTCGTACTTTTCCAACAAAAAAAAAAATACAGACAAATTGGGAATATCTTATCACCTTTTCTGAAGTCAGTTAAAAAGTAAAATCAGGACGAGGACGTCCTGAAGCTAAATGACTATTCTCGAAGTCATTTATTATATGTTATTTATATGTTTGTAGTCACTTACAATTTTAACTTTTTTTGGAACAATGGAGAAGCTGGTTCTATCTGTGGCAGAGTCCTTGCAGTCCTTGGTGCGAAGAATGCCGACTGCAGCGGTGAGGAACGTGTCTACGAACGACGTGTCCTTTTCGCGAACGCACATCATTTGCCACTGACCTATTGTAGGGTAGTCTAGAAGTAAAGAGAGATAGTGTATTGTAATGAAGTACAGGGTTATATATTTATGAGCCGTGTGGAAAAAATCCATATAAAGCTAACTGTACAACTAGAAGTAGAAGGATTTTACCACAGAACGTATTATTATTGAGAAACGGATAGTGTCAGTAATAATAATAATAAGCGACACGCCACTCGCTTCCAGCACAAATGCAGAAGGCGGTCCTGCTCTATACGGCACGTATTGTATGCCGGTTCTTGAACCCGAGTCCCTACCGTGCCAATGCCGGGGAATACCGCCTCTCCTATTTAAAAATCCAAAACTTATCTTTTAGGCCTTGTGAGATTCGAGAATCTAAACTAATAATACCTGTGCCTGACAACCACGCCAATTGCCTGGTCTCAAACCAGGGAATTCCCTGTACTATGAGCGCCAGAGCAACGGAATTCACTCTGGGGCACTTAGTAGGACACCCAGACCAGAACCAATTTAGTAAAGTACATTCACCAAATTGGTCCTATCGTGAATCGAACCCAGGATCTCCTCATCCAGCGCCCATAGAGCAACAGTGTTTGCCATTGGCCCCGGTGGAGCTTCGAGGTCGTCAAAAGTATTTAAACATGATCACAAACTCGAGATATCGTAACGAGCTTATTATATTATATTATGGCATAGAAATTTATATGTTATTCAATTTAATAGCATAAAATGATTGATAAATTTAATATCCTCCACCGGTTAGCGCTGATCCTAACTGTAATTCACTGTCTAATCACATTGTATATCAATTTAAAGTCAAAAAGTTTTATATTCCGTAGTAAACAGTGCGAAAAAAATTCTAAGTGGCTAAATGGTTACATAATGGTAAATATACCTTACAGCTCACAGCGATTGTGGAACTGTATCGTTCCATCCCCTACTCTGAAACAAATGGTAAATTGGTTTTTATTCGCAAATTAAAAAAAACCTTACCTTCACAATGGTTAGCAATTACTTGACTCTTCTCCACACCCAGCAGCATAACAAGAATTTTATCCAGTTTGAACATATCCTCGCAATGGATATCTCGTTTCAGATCTGATAGTTTCATAAGTAAATTTGGACATAGAATCACAATTTGCAATTGCGCTTTCACCAATTTGTCCAATTTCTCTTGAGATCCGTGAGATAGGAGGTCTTCGGCTGTTATTGGTGTTACTCTGAAAGACAACAGTTAATTCAAAAATCTCCGTGAAATTGTCTCCGTGGCCGAACGGTTACCATGCTGGACTGCCACGCACAAGTCCCGGGTTCGATTCACATTTATTTCTACCCTGAATTTGGCTGTAATTTATTGTGGCTGTCTATGAGTGTCTATGTGACCCGCGTAGTCCAATTCGAATCAGAGAAAATACGGACATCGCTTGTACACCTAGAGATAAAATGATCCCTGTGATATTTCGGACAGTCATTTCTGGGATTCGGAACAGGGGGTCTACTACCGGTCCCCGTCCGACATCCGTCCGAAACAATTACTGTCAAATAAAAGTAACACCCGAGCAAAACAAAACGAAATTTAAACGATATAAGTATAGTGGAAAAAGACGCCTACGTATACAATAAAAATGAAGTTTGCTGTGAAGACGTTCTTATAACATTTATTTCTCTCTTTGTAGAATTACTCTTTATTGTTACTCTTTGTTGTTGTCTCAACTTTGAACCAGTATTGAATGGCGATTATTATACTACCCTTGGAACGAAAAAAGGCACAATTGCTGTATAAAGTACGCATACTTGCGCCTTTATTCCCATTCATTCTGACAAGTAAAAAAATCTACCTTTAGGTACAGTGGATGCCCTAAGATACCCGATTCGTTAGCCGACCTTTTCATTCTAAGAGCCTTTTTACTCATTCAACAGAAAAGTGTTAGGAATTCCATCTTTTTTTAAATAATATTAAGTGACGGGACGAATAAGTCGTGCGTCTGATGGTAGCTACACGCCTATCCATAACAGTTGTAGTGAAACTCAGAGCTTTAAATCGCAAAGATCTGGGGGCACTCCGCTACGCCCGTCACCCTGAGACATAAGTTGACTAGTCCCATGGGCCTGTAATTTCACCATTTTGTTTTTGGTTGTAATTTGTATTTATGTAACGTAATTAAAGATCAAAATGTCGTAAAAATTTCTTAAAACGTCATTCACGAATGATGCAATACGGAAGTCATACCAAAATGAATTTTACGGCCCACATGTTAAAGGTTAAGTGTGTTAAAAACCTTTCTTCATACTCATATACTTAGAAGTAAATAATAGTTAGAAACTTAGAGGGTCAGGTATTTTAGGACGCCAACTGTATACCTGATACTTTAAATAGATGTTTATTTATCGAGTTTTTAAGGTTTCACGATTGCTACATTGGAAATTAAACAATTTTTTTCTAATCTCAGTCGCGTTTATATGTTTTTCAAACAAACAACTCGTTTTGCAGTTCCACAAAATAAAAAAATAGTTTCATTACGTTGTTACTTACTTATAGTGGTGGCGAGCTCTCTGCGACATAATTTTGTCGAAGCTGGCGACGAGATAATCAGACCACAAAGCGCTCTCTGGAGACCCCGAGCTCCATAATATCGCTATATCTTCCATTTCTATAACAAAAAATATGGCATTTTATTATTTCTGTTCTTTTTATAACTGTTAGTGGATTAACTAAAAGCTGAAACAAATACTAGGAAAGATCATTAAGTTTACAACCGTCCAGTTGTGAAATAAATTATAAAATCAATACAGTATTATCTATCTACTTAATCTTTTTGGGAGACAAGGTAATTTCTATTACGAGATTACCTGCCTGAAATTAAACACGTGCATAAAAATGAATGTTTGTTCTCAGAATTAACAACAACATTAGTAGTTTTTATATATGACTGGCTGCACCTGGCATGCATTGCAATACTACTGAAAAGTGTGTCGCCAACCCGCATTGGGCCAACGCGGAGGATTATGGCCTTAACCCTCTACTTAGAGGAGACCCGTGCCCAGTAGTGGGATCTAATAATTCAGAAACTTTTATGGGCGTGGGCACAACAACTCAGCAAAATTGTATCGCCATCAGATGGTTAATAAGAAGTTTTATCTCACGAGTATAGAATACAATATAGGACAAATATACAGATAAATAGGTACATTAATTTTAATATACTTTATAATTGTTAACTTTTTGCATTAGACTTGCAGATCGATTATTCTATTTATATGCAGTATGTTTTTACTATTGTGACCTCCCTGAAATCGCGAAAAAAGAAATCTAAGTATGCTGAAAAATATTTTAGTCGGGCTGGTATGAAACAACACTCGACCAAAATAGATGGAACTGCTGATTTTTTACGTATACACATGATCAAATCTCCGTTTTCTTTAGCAAACAAATGTAACACAAAACCCACATATCAAATGTCATCAATTCACAATGGACCGATTGATTTATCAGCGAAATATACTCGCGCATGAAAGGATGTGCTGTCATGGGATAATCAAGGCACATGAGCGATGTCCTTTATAAGGGTCATTGGCAGGGCAAAAGACCACGGGTGGCCATAAACCTATCATAAAAGTCAATAATGTAAACACCTTTTGATGTTTATTCTCAAATATTATTTCCAACTGATGTTTGTGCGCACGATGTATCTGTAACTTGGAAACGTAAATAATGTAGAGACTATATGTCTTAAATCTTCAACTTAAATAAATATGGTATAAATGTGTTTGTGTATTGGTTTATTCTGAGAATAATACCGAATCCATTAGCAAAGTGCTCTTGAAATCAATGATGGTTTTAATTTAGCTTGCATTACAGAGTCTAATATCGTTCCTAATGAACAGCCTTTGTAAAATATAGTACCTATTTGTTGGGCGCTGAGAAGTACGTATCTTATAAATACATATAGGTATGTATACGTGTGCTTATATGTAACTAGTATAATGTTTCGTAGAGAACATGGGAACAACGGGTACTTTGGAACTAATCCATGTTTATGTATAATAATATATATAGATCAAAATTTCTTAGACATTTTTTCACGAAAGTGTGTTGTGTGAAACCCGACTGTGAACTAGAAACGATATATTCCCCTGTTAATTTACATTCTTTGAAGCAATTGTTCCCAGAATGTGTCGTTCTAAAAAAGCCAATAAGGCTGTCCTAAAAACACACTTACATATTCCTTCCCTAGTCCAAGTGAATGAAGGCATACGTTGGTTGTTAAATTTTATAGCTACGCAGCACGTATGCACGCATGGTACGCATACGTTGTGCTTACAGAATATGGCATGCACCGCGCCACATCGCACCGGAAACACACGGGCTTATTCTTGCCCACCTCAGCCAAATGAAACCCCAGCTAAATGTAATATCCGTTTCCTAAATAGACAAACGTATATCAGCGGCGCCCGGAATAAATATAGCCTATTTGATGCAACGCGTGCCGCGAAAGGAAAAGATAATTTGGTATAGGCCAATGTGCATTTATTGCAAACCCGATAAGTAATAGATAAAGCACAGTTATAGGTATAAGGTTGTGAGTGAAATATATCTACTTCATGGTAGATTTTCATCCTTCGAAAAGTTAAAAAAAATCATCGAAAATATAGTCCTATGATACCTACTTTTTGAACTCGAATATTATTCGTTGCATATTTTTAAACACTCTGACCTATTATTTCCCTTTTCATTTAATCGTAAATGACATGACACAAATTAAATTATTACTTACTACACATGCGTCTTACGACCTCCGGTGTCTACAATATAATCTCTTGTAACCTATTTATATCTTAAATTTCAGAGGGTAAAAGTAGAGTTAACGAAATTAAACCTCCCGGTAGGTACCTCGGCCCATTCAGGGCGTTATGGTTCACTGCTTCCAACCTATACGATGTGTATCGATATGACATTTTTCCAGTTATATGAGGATTGGACATCATAAATCAAATTATTGTGTTTTGTTGCTGGCAAAAAATCTTAGAGTACAAAAAAAATAAAGATCGAGTACCGCCACAACTGAACAATGTAAAAACGGTCCAGAATATCTCTCAATAACAAAATTAAGTATCAAATATCTCTGTGCAATTTTTTATGACTGATTACGTGTAAAGATAAATAACACCTTAGTTTAACGACACAGTCGACAATTTTAAAGCCATTTGCAAAAAAAAGCTAAAAACAAACTAAAAATGTCCAATTCGAAATGCCTTTCATTGCTTTCTAAAGCGATTGTGCTTCCCGATGGCATTCAGTTTTCAGTCGAGTGGTCCGTCCGGTTTGATGTGCGGAGTGAAATATAACAGCTTCCTATAGTTCCGCGCAGGTACAACTGGCAGCTTTTTGATCTGTTTTTGTGTTTGTCCAACGGGAAATGTTGCCGATGCCTTTTGTTACCATTGCAGGAAAAGTGATTACTTTTGAAATTGTTTTCGTACCTGTCCGTACACGAGAATTTATTTATTTCTTTGGACCACCAACAGATTACCATAAATACATTTTATAAGCAACAGTTGTTGTGTATAAGCCAATTAAAGGTATCCACATTACTCAAAGCATATTCAGATACAATAAAAAAATTTAAGATCTTAATACTAATAATAATAAGACATTTATTCATAAGCGCATTTACAATAAAAATGTTTGATAAATACACTTTCGGAAATATAGTGGAATCCAGTGCTAATGAAAAGGATGGAGCCTCAGCACTACATGCTGCAAAGAAACTACTATGCATATATTTTAAGTAATAGCATTATCGTTGTATGATCTTCCTAATTGGGTTATTGCTTTTAGAGGAAAAAATAGCGCTACTTTAAATGTACAATAATACTAATACGTAGCTAATATCGTAGATACGGTGTATTATAAGTATCTACGGTAATTATTAGTTTTCATTACATTTATTCATCTCAGTAAATTCTTTGTTACATGCTACACTTTTAGTTCAAATGACGCTTGTGTTATTTATCGTTTTTTCACGATTTTTAATTGTACCTACTCAGAATCAGCGAGGTCCTGTCTTAATAGAGTACAATGACGACGTATGTAATGTTTATGTACGTTATAAATTTGTTTTCAGCCTAACCAGATGACATCGTTGTCGACCAAAAAAAAATTATGCTTACATTATAATTATAACTTTTTTATAGAAAAAACTGACCTGAAAAGTTTGTAGAATTACATCTATTTGCAAAGGTTTTTGAAATCGGTTATCGGAAAGTGGATAAATTGCAATAAACCGGATTCATTCCCTAATTTGCTACCCTTAGAGGTGGAACATTTTCTTCAAATTTAAATGGAATTACTACTGAGGTACCCCCTTTCCAACAAAAAAGAGCAATCGAAATCTTTTTTACGCCCATGTGGTCAATAGGACCATATAGGCTGAGAACCTCCTCCTATTTTGAAGTCGTTTAAAAATATTAGAGATCGCATATCTGTCTCTACAGTAGACGGTCTTCCTTATTTATTTAATTATCATTTCCTTAGTAAATAATGTCAATATATTCGATATTTAAGTATTTACTACTTCCCAACATTTATTGTTGTAAGGTAAATATATCGAACAAGACCGTCTAATTTCCGTCAGATAATGGCTCCGCGAGAGGAAGCTGGTCGCTTTTAAGTCGAACTCAATGGGTTTGTGGAAGATTCGCTTCCTTTAATCTTTAAAAACCTACCACTTTCCTTGTATACCGACAAACAGTCATATGTGTTTGTTATATTTAATGTAAGAAACAGATGATATTCAGTGGTAGACATAGTGGTAGGTATATGGTATGCAATTTAAGGAATCTCTGTTCTAAATTTAAAATACATTAGGTACACTACGCATAAAGTAAACACGTTATAATAGTGTATAGAAAGGCAAGCTAAAACAAAATTTTTTGAGAATAAAAACAAGTACATATACAATAATAAGTATGAATGTTAATAGAAGAATTCAAATTTTATTAGTGTAACAATAATTAATTTCCATGTGAAATGCCTCCAACTAGCCGTAACTCATGGCTTTGGACTCCTACGACTCTATCATAGAGAACTATCGCTTACACGTACCTTTTTGCTAATATGTAAGCGGATAGGTATATGATAGTTACAGATTTCATAGGCATAGGATTGTTAAACGGCAACGACGCGGCGTCAACGAAATACTAAACTATATAAATTGTCTTCTCAAATTTTAGTCAATTTCGTGAGTTCGAATCCGAGCTCTTACCTCTGAGTTTTTCGGAATTTGTGTGCAGTGTAACGCGCACACACTCGCACACACTCAACATAGCCCCGCACTAGGGGAACCCTGTGTCATGGGTGCCATGGATACACACATAGACAACCGCAAATGACACTCAAACTCACGAGATGAATAAGTGTAGACTATACAAATCTTTCTCTCGGCCCGGGAATCGAACCTGGGACCTCTGCGTGGCAGTCCGGCACGGCAACTGTTCCGCCACAGAGGCAGCTTTTAATTTGAAATTTACCATGAGCTTTTCGGTAAAGGAAAACACTGAAATGGAACCTGCACATCGAGAAAGATTTACGAATAATGTAAATAATGTGGGTAGTCCCCAACCCACATTGGGCCAGCGTGGCGAACCATGGCCTAAACTTTTGCCCGTAAAAATATACATAATTTCGTTAAGAAAGAAGGTATCCATAATATTAACCATAGAACTAAGTTCAAACCATGGTACCACGATTTCGTTTAACTAAGGTAAACGTTTCTTTTCTGAGGAACTGTAGGTATACGTTTTTACAATAAGATTCCGGATCATATATTAAGATTACCATTTCCTAAGTTTAAAAACTTACATTAAAAGTATTTTAATTGAAAAGTCATATTACAAAATTATAGACTACGTGTTAGATTAAGATATATGGAAAGACGACATGGCTCTAGATTCCATACAAATTTGATTCAAAGTGTATTCCATAGCATTTATGTTTATTTGAAAAGAGAAATCCCTAGAGTTTCTTGCTCGTTCTTCTCAGGGAGGTTAGCGTAGTGAACGAGCAGTAGCTTATAAAAATGACGGTTTCAAGTCTAAAAATTTTACCTATCAAACAAATTATTATTTGACTTTGACTTGCGTGAGAGGAAACCCGTGCCCAGCAGTGAGACGTATAAATGTGTTAATGACGAAACTTTAGTAATAATAATAATAAAATCGTTTATAGATCTAAACCCATCAATAAGTAAATAGAAGTTACTTTACAAAAAGAGTTTAGTAACAGACATAGTGACGGGAGGCAAGGTCTGTGACGCGGCATAATGGCGAAATTTTTCTCAGTGCCACTGATCTTCTGCTACAGTCTGCCATGTTAAAAAAGAAGAAGAACATTGTTTGTAACGCCAGATTATATGTGATTCACCACAGTCGGTATTAAAATAAACATTTCTTTTTTCTCCGGCCCGGCGACGTTACTAAATCATTATTTCTGACATCGCGTCCTAATTAATGAACATAAATTTTAATATCACTTGAAATGGAGTTTTATGCGAAGTACTTTATTTTGACATTCATACAATTGTTATTTACTTTAAAATACTGTAATACAAAAGTTTGAATACAAACATTTGCTAGTATTATGAACTGCTATAATATACGTATCGCATCATAGTAATAATGTACAACCAAAATTATGTATCGATCAATGATCATAATATATACGTGTATCAAAGAACATTGGTATTGATATTTAAGTATGTAGGTATAATTAAGTCTTCCTTCGACTCATCTATCTTATTTGCTAAACATCCTGTCTTAATAGCTTGTCAAACAATTAGTTATAGTGACCGGAATGTTACAAAACTCACTTTCCTGTTACAAAGCATAAAATACAATAAAAGCAAACGCGGGCAGCCTTGAATACGGTCACAGGAGATAATGTGTCGACGTCCTTTATCTTTTCTTGCGATTCTTGTCACGAAGACAAACAAAACCCTGCTTTCATCATCACAATTTCTCTGTGTATTTTTTTTACAATGACTGAAGCACCTGAAAGATTTCTGAAAGGACAGATGTCGAATATTTCAATTTTTTACTTTGTTCATATTACTTCTGAAGAAATAAACTTAGGTTGTACTATTATAAAATTGGTAGGATAGGATAATATGTAGTGATAACGATATTCACATCAATAGAGCATACAATTTCCCTTCCACGATTTTGAGAAAATTCCGTATACTTATTTTACTATGACGTGAAATAAAAAAAAAATGTTTTTTTAGTAATTATACCACGGATTTTAAAAGCAACAAATACAATTGAAAGACTACTTACATACTAAAATTAGACGATTCCTCATGGATGTTAACTGTTCAAAATGAAACAAAAGGAGAAACATTAGAAGGGGCGCCATATCTAGGCGATTGTGAAAGGCAAGACTATAATATAACCTACACAATTAAAAGAGGACCGCAATGTTGGATACCTACTAAATTAAACGAGGACCACAATGTTGGAGAACTATTATCTTAGGCTATTAGAACACAATGGAACTATAGGACATTAGAATTCTTAATAGTTTGTTTATATAATTTGTAATCTTTACTATCGATATGTGTAAACATACACACATCAAAAGTGTCTAGGGATCAATCACGGTTTTGCTTATTACTGAAAATCAGATTTTTAAACGATTTTTTTTGGTCTATTTCATTTTCTAATTCGAATTATAGAACTGACCAGAAAAAACTTTTGGTGTTAAAAAATATTTCAAAAACCCGATTTTCAATAATTGGAAAAAATATAATAGCTGCCATTTTTTAAATTGAAGTATGTTACATCGTCTTTCATTAATTTATATAAAAATGTACGTCCATCTCCTGCAATACATTCCAGTATTGTGCACGTATCTCTTCTAAGGAGGTACTTTAAAAAATTTGCATATGTTATTTTTATAGAATATCATGTTTTACTACGATTATATTCATCTATTTTTTTTTTTAAATACTTTGTTATTATTATGGATACAAATCTCAAACTAACACAAAGAAAAATTCCATTCGAAAGGATTTTTCATTTGAGTTAAAATAATTTTATTAATTAATAATAATTTCGCGTGTTGTTTTTATATTATGTAGCTAATTGATATTCCATAGCCTACAGCATTTATCACAAACTTTTGCTATCCATGGTTGGCACAAGGCTCTCACTACGACGTGCTTATCAGGATACAGACACATGAAGCTATGTATCTCCTGACAGAGGCGCTGTAGAATGGTACTACGCTTCATTTACATTCCTACTGCGACCACATTACGGGAGACGCTTCGATGCATGTAAATCAAGGTATGTTTATTCAGTGATGCACACCATCCTGCATAAATAATTATGTTCAGAAATGATAAAACATCAAATAAACACTTTAATATCAGTGTATTAGAGACTAGAATCGTTAGTTGGGATTTAAGTCAACGGTAAAACGAATTTGGTAATGACATACGGTGCTTTTTGACATTGATTTTTAGATGGCTCAGGACGTCTTCGAATTACAAAGTGACGTAGGCTAATGGGATTAGTCGACATAGGATGTTGAGCGGGGAGAGCTAAGGAACGAAGGACAAACGACAATGGATTGTCATAATATAGTATATCAAAAAATATATAAAATATTAATAAATTAATAGCACCCCTTTGTATGTATTGTTTTAACATAGAATCGAAAACGTGAATTGTGTCTAACTGGAACATTATCGTAAATAAATATTTATCTCTAATTGCTCATACAAAGGAAGCTCGAATGGCTTTGAATTCATCAAAATTTGTATTATAATGTCAATTTAATTCAATTACCGCATTACATAATTATTCAATTAGTAACAACCTTTTTTAGTTTAAATTCATGGAAAAATAATATAATCACATGTTGATGGATACAGACAATAACATACATTTTCAAAGTATAAAAAACAATAGGTAAAGTCTTCCGACAAAACAGGAAATATAAAATTTAAAAAAACCAATTTTTTTTCAGCTCTTAAATTCATAACTAAGCTCATCACGTCCTAGCTATTAAATGACGAATATGTATGTAAAAAAACTTACTTGTGTCAGCCATTGCTTCAGTGCTTCCACTCTTAAAACACTAAAGAGAATGTTCGTTACTCACGAGAATTCAAAAGTAAGACATTGCACTGGCCTGCAGCCACTAGAAAGCGCACGCAAAACAGGAGTCCACGACACTGTGCCAGAATGAAGTGTCGGATTGCTCTCGTATGCGGTGCTACGGGCAAGCGAGCGACACCAGTGTGGCGGTGCGGCGGGACGTCTCTGGCGTCTGGCAGCGTACGCGCACGCTCTTCGCATACTAACCACCCGGCGCGACGATAATCGCAACTCTGCCATCCCCGGCGCCTAATCTCTTCAAACACATTTGAGCCCATGTGTAAATATTCCCGGAACGTTATCGTATCCAAATACGGGACTGTAAACACTAAACACGTCCCGATTAATCCGTACGTCTATCTCTGATCACTTCAACGACGAGAACATAGATAGAGACAACGATCCCTGAAAATGCCTTATCAACCGTCATCCAAGGATTTAATTAGCTTACGTAAGATAAATAGAAATATTTAACAACTATGCGCATATTCCGATTCTGATGTACTCGTTATCACTATCAATATCTTCCAATCGGCTACGAGATGCAATAAATTGAGTCAAATTAAGTACAATTCGTAAAGATAATGTAGGTCAAAAGGTCACTGGCGTATGCAACTAAAAGCAGCGCTTGGGTAAATCAAAGTGCCGCTAAATATTATTGTTTTGGAAGTTGCATCTTCTTTTTATCGCTGCCATCATAGAAGCTGGGTAGGGGTCTAAGTGCACGCGCGGGATCAACGCTCGATATCTGGCCCTCTGTCTGCACCGTTGTTGTTTACGACCATCCATCATTTTATCTGCTCCCTTAACGTCAGATACGTACGAGTAACTATTACCTAATAATAGAGCTTACTACGCTTTCCTTAAAAACATTCTTATCGAACCTCGTAAAAATGTCAAATCTAACGGCTTCTATAAGTTGAACGCATGTCGGCTCTGAAAACTTAGCGGATAGCTGGTATTACGATTTGTGTAACAATCACCTTGTATAACTCATAATAAGACAAGTGCCAACATAACGATCTTAATATCAACATTTCAATATTTTTCGCTTAAAAAATTTGCACGATCAAAAGCGTTTATTTGGCAACATAATAATAAATACAAAAAAGACATCGATTCACACCAAGGCAGATTGTACCATTATACCTGTCCTGTGCTAATAATGGCCACATGGCACTTTTTGACATGACATGACACCACATGGCCTGATAACCTGATGTGTACCAAAGATAAATACGATAAAATATGAGTTTAGAGTGGAACTTACCCTTGAAAGGGAAATTTTTCGGTCTCCTCCGCTTGATTGTTTCGTCATCCTTATGCCCAAATTTTGGTGGGGGCATTTTCGGCACCTCACTAGGCATTGTAGTAATTTCTCCATTACCTGCGGCTCCTGTTGCCAAATAACCGCCAACAGAATGTCTTCTACGGCCTTGCAGCGGAATGGTGTAAAAAACTTCTTCCCGCTCATGTGTAGACTCTGGAGTACCCACCTGTATAGGCATTTTGCCTTTCCTGTAGTCGGAAAGAAAAATTAGCATTGTTACGTACTGTACTCTGACTTAGCAGCTCTGACGTAGGAGCTCTACTATCCAGTATAAAGAATATAAGAAACTATCATTGTTAAGAATATCTAGATATTTATAAGAGAGTTGATTTAAAACTTACTTTATTCTAGGGGCGGTAAAGGTATGTCTCATATCACCAGGAGCACAGTCTCCCAGTATGGGCTGCCCTTTGAGAAACCCCTCTGCTTGTTCAGGTTCCTGTGCGGATAGCGACCGTAACAGTGCCCTGAATTCCTTCCTTCTCGGGCTTTCTGGCTCGCGTCTTCTAGGAGAGCCCAAAGATCTAAAAGACTCCGGCCATCGACTTGGGGCCGATCGTGAGTACAATTCCCCTGCATTCTCAGCACCATCAGGAACGTCCTTATTTGGTAACGCAAAGTACGAAGGGTTATCTGTAACAAAACATATATTTACATAAGAAAAACGATATAGTCACTATTGAACTTGCTTGCATACAATCAAAAGTAAACTTGACCGATTTATTCAGTATAGGTGTTGTTTTGGCAACACTCCAAAGAATTGCAAATTGAATTGAAACATTGCGTTTTATGTTTCACCTGTTTATTGTAGCATGATAACAACAATCAAGCTTTCTTCAGCTGAAATGAAACAGCGGTTACCATACTCTAGCCTATCACACATTTTCAGCTACTATGAAATATCAGTAGTTATGCAAAACGAGAACCGTAGATATTTAATCCATTTACATCTGATCATGAAAGTCGAATTTATGGTAATTGGTGGGTACAGATAGCAAGTTTCCGAGGAATTTGTAAGGTTAATAGAAGTTCGAACGTTAACAAAATGTAATTTAGCTATTGCGATCTAAGTAAATAAAGGATTATAAATGTAGATGGGTATTTAAATTACAAAATCCTAATCCAAATCACCTTTACGTAAAATTTTGCATAAACAAGTAAAAGAAACAAACAACCCACTCCTGGAAATTGTTTTTTTTTTTATAATATTAAGTTACGGGACGAACAAGTCGTGCGCCTAATGGTAAGCTACACGCCTATCCATAATAGTTGCAGTGCCACTCAGAGCTTTAAATCGCAAAGATCTGAGGGGCACTGCCACTGCGCCCGCCACCTTGAGACATAAGTTGACAAGTCCCATGTGCCTGTAATTTCACCAGCACCCTTACTCTTCATAACCAGAACTCATTAATGCTAACATTAACTACTTGGGTGCGGAAATAGGTAAGGTGGCAGTACTACCTACCCTGAATGTACTCTTTCACATTGAGCTCTACTGCTACTAATGGTTTGTTCAAAAAACGAAAAGAATAAGAATAATAAATAAATTAAATTGAACTACCTCTGCAGAGTGCTGAAAATGCTGATAGTGTCCCCACTATGGGTAAGTTAGATGACTATCTTTGAGTCTCAATACCTTGTTTGTATTAATAGTGTTATTTGGGTCGTATATTTTTTGTTTTATCAATGATAATGGTGGCACAGCGAGGACGGACAGTTCCGCGGCTGTCGCGCTCGACTCGCGGGAATTATTCAATAAAGGCAATGAGCTAACGGCTCTCCATTACGTCCAGGCAACCTACTTTTGTAAGCCGGAAAATGCGAATTGACGACAATCTTCCCTACTCGCCCTCACGGCTCTACAGGACTGGACCGCTTTATGGCTATGATAACGCAGTATCTCAACTAAGTGTAGGTAACTATACTATATGTAAGTACTTATGCTTCCCGGAATTTTATGATTATATAATAGAGATTTTTAGTAATTGAACATTCGGATCACCAATAATTTTTAAATAAGAAACAATAAAAAATGCAAAATGAACTATATTAAAGAAATTCATTTTCCACTTTTACGTTCGTTTAAAGTTTAAAGTATTGAAACTATTTCCATACAAATAAATTTATACAGGAAAAAATACGTATTTCTAGACTAAAACACGCATTTCTAGAACTGTTCTTTGAGATTTACAGTATGAGTTTTTCCGCTTTGTAAATTTTATGTACTATCAACGGCTGTAGTTTTTATGGTACGCTTTAAATTTTCTACAATCAATTTCATAGTCATAGCTTACCTTGCAATTATTCGACATAATTCAAATGTCGTAAATAACCCAAATTCATTGCCCGCTAGTGTATTTCGAACGTTTTAAAGTACATCTTTTAAAACAGAGATCTGCTTTTTTGTTAAAACCCGCATATGCGTAGCATTTCTACATTTGATGTAGAACAGGGGCAGGATAAAAGGTCTGTCCCTGGAAACATGTGGCAATATAAAAACAAGTAACAAACAATACTGTGTCCCTAATATTATTGTCGTTCTATTACGGAGATATCATAGATGGTTGATGAAATATGTGACAGTAATTGATGGCTCCCCTACTTGCGTAATTACGAAATAGCACGCCGTTGATTGTAATGTATTTATAGAGGAAATATGACAGGAAACGTGGTGAAAGTTCGACTACGGTGTATATCTCAATCACATTGATGCTGTCCTTAAAAACAGGTCAAAAATATTAATATTATACGTGAGTGAAGAAGGCAAAAGAGATATGAATATGCCAAACCCTAGAGGGAAGACAAGCGTGATGAAATGTATGTATGTTGATTGCATACATATATTTTTCTTTACCCAAATGTGGTACACACGGAAGAAAGAAAGTGGTACAGATTCATTATTAGATTACAGATTTTATTTTACACATATGACAGATTAGTATTCTTATTAAACTAACGTGGTGACTACTTTCTTTTTTTACTTTTAATTTGCACACGTCTCTTATGAAAATGAAATAGTTATTATGCTTAAGTGCCTACAACTTCTAACTGACCTAAAATTTTATAATTCTATCTTCGCATTTGTCATTCCGTAAAAAAAGTAATTTACCTAATTGTTTAGCACAAGAGGGCATGTGTTGCGGATAAGGAGAAGAATCGACCGTTGTCTGATGAATCAAACGTCTTCTCGGAACCACAGACTGCTTGCCACGGGTTACATTGAGAGAGATATTTGCTAGTAATGTAGCTGGTAAAGACTAATTTGTGATCTTCTTTGTATTTTGTACGTATACATGTATTGTTTGTTATTATTGAGTTAATAATTCTTGGTTTAACGCCAAAAATGTACTGAAAAAAACGTTACATTTATTTCATGAACTTTTAGCATATTTTGATTATACATGAGTCGACAAAAATGATTTAGCTTAAATTTGTAAACTGATAAAAAGAAACTTGAAAAATTCCATCAGAAACTTTGATTTATCCACTTTTAAGATGCAATTAAAATACCGATAAAGTTATTGGAGAACACTTCCAAGAATTTTTCGAGTCAAATTACAAAAGTTTCAAGAAGATCCCTCGGGCGGACAGCCAATAATATATCTAAATAATAGTACCTGCCTCTGCTTCCGTAAACGCGATTTGTATATAACGCTGCCTGTTTTCAATAAAAGTACGAATATAAAATACAATAATTTCTTACTTATTGCTTTATCTAGCATACATAACTCTAACTCTTCCGTAAATATTAAACTACTTAAAATACCGTTTGTTTCTGTAAAGAAATATTATTTATTTCTTAAAACGATTTTTTTAAATTACTTAATATAAAAAATAAATAAGACTTACTCGTAGCTCGTAAGCAATAGTCAAATTGAGGTCCCATGGTTGTTTACAAGCGGCTTTGGTACGTTGCACTAAACACGACACATGTCGGCGGCGACGCAGCGCGTTATGTTAGGTTCTCTGCGTGCGCGCACGCAACTCAGCGACCAGAAACAGCGGCGGCTGTGCAGGTGGACGCGCGCTTTAGAAGCACACGTGCGGAGCTTTCAGGAAGCTTTCTTTAGCTTGGGCGTAAGGGGAATTGTAAACAGAGCTTTTTGTGGGTACTCATAATATAGGAGAAAAGTATTTGTGTGTGGTTGTATGGTCTGTGGATGATTGTATAATAAATAATTTACTGTATTGATTTATAAGATTTATAGGTACATCATTTTAGGGAGAAATGTTAAGCAATGCGGTTCGTTTTCATTTTAAAAGAATAACTTCCCGATATCTGTTTTTTTTTTGTTCTGCAAGAACCATCAAGGTTAAATCCCATAACTTATTATTTCGCATAAGAAGTTTGTATCGGGCCTAAGCGCACGCGCTTCGGAAGCGACCCATCTCGAGGAATCAGAGGGGATGCTGCGCCCGCGCTGCCGATGCCATGGCGGCGGCGTCGTCCTGATTTTATTTTAGGTTTGTATGCGCGGTAGCTCGGCGTCGATGTTTGTAAATACGCCCTACATTGTTGACATTCATTCATACACCCTGCACGGTATACAACAGTACTGCCTCAATGGGTTAAATATAACGGTGCATAAACATATTCGTCTTCGACGCTATTATTGACTGGTCATTGAATCTATACAGTGGTTACTCTCTAGTTTCTAATACGTCACACTTATATTAGGGTTAGAAAGAACAGATACATTAATTAATGTATGTGCCTACTTATATAATTATTGACCACGATCAATCATGGGTCGTAGCAAAAATAATACGGTTAGGTACATATTATACGTGTTACACATGTCTTCATGTATAGTATGATTTAAACGTAATAAGTGTAAAGTTTTACGTAGGTATGTCTGTTTTTTTTTGTTAAGTTTGTAACCTTTCGGCGGTCTAAGACCACGATGAGAAATGATCACAATTGAAAAGGGCCATTTCTCGAATTCACCATTTATTGAATTGACCTCTTCTTGAATCGATTACAACTTGAATTGGCTATTTCTAGAATTGACCACATCTTGAATTGACCACTTCTATGAAATAGAATGTCAATAAAATAGACCTTCTAAGAATTTGTTTACTTGAAAAAACTAACCAAACAGATGTCACCAAGAGTGCCACTGGTCCTAGTTGCAAGTACGAGTATATATCAAATCAAAACCTATTTGTCCGTTCATACGTTCACCAGTTGTTCATGTTACAAACATAAAAGGTATCGGTAGAACAAAGTTAAAATAAATGTGTGTTGGCAATGGCGCATGACAGAGCAGGGATTACATTCAATCTCGACTCCGCCGACCCGTTCGAAAAATGAGAATTGTGAGGAGGGGTGCCATTATTAAGTCAGTCGATAGATTAGTCTCATGTAGGGTTAAGGCTTCTTACATTCTCTTCAACACCTGTCACTTAACCAAACTACAAAATAACATACATATATAATATACATTAATACAAAACTACTTCACACAAGATCAAGCATTCTGAATTGACTTTTTCTTACAGTACTACCTAACAAAATTACAATGCCTTTTACGCAAGAGCGTGTTTAGCTGAGGCCAATTAATTATTTTTCATTTGGAGGATAAATTAGACATGTAAAACATGTATAATACAATATTACTCATAGCCTTACA